ATCGTACACTTCCATTAAATGTTAAAGTAAATCTGCATATTTAAAATTTATATTTTCACCAAACAATAGAATTCTATTATACCAGTAAAAATTCTCACAAATGAAACTGCCTATTTATTGGGATTACAGCATTATATGTGATAGGATTCTTTTTGCCAATTACAAATTCACCAGATACAAAGCGACTATATAGGTAATGAATTGGAATTAAACAATCTCGCTCTATCTCATAAAATTCATTTCGCCAAAGTTCAATATTTGAGCTTTTTTCATCACCATCAATATTTGTATAAAATCGGGTTTTCTGGTTTGACGCCAGTTTATACCATTTAACAAATACTAATCGATGTGTTTTAAGTTCACCCGAAATTCTCACAGTATGTTCAAAATAATACTGTACCTGACCTGGAAATAAGTCAGTTGTTTCATTGTTTTGGATAAATTTCGCCAAAATATTCGCGTTTTTCAGGTATCGGAGTGCCATTGCCGATCCAAATACTTCTGCTGAGATCCTAACCCGCCCAAATTGATCAACCATATTTGGCACAACTATTGCATCTCTTGAACTGGTTGATGTTGTCTCAGCAATTGTTACAAATTGCAAGTCGTAAGCAATATTATAATATTCAGTTAGGATTTGATAAATATCATCAGGCAAGGCAACCCGATTTTTACATGGCGTAAGCATTTCTCCAGGAAATGGTTCGCTACCAACAATCGTTTCATCAACTTCTTGGAAGAATACCTTTCTAAATTGATACAGCTCAGTGTAATTAAAATTATCGTAAGCTGCCAAACTTCCAGAAGTTGATCGTTGTTGAATTAATTTTAAAGCTTCAACAAGCTTAACATTATTTGATTGAACGGATACAAGGTTATCAAGTCTCCAATTCCGCATTATAATTCGTAAAAGTTCGGGTTCAATTTGATGATTACTATTGGGAAAAGAGCCTATTGATATATTATTTAATAAATTATTAGCAAGCTTAAACGATTAAACAGTTCACAAAATACCTACCGAGGATACCGTTCATTCTTTCAAAGGAAAAACACCAGAAAGAATATAATGGATCATAATCCTGTCAACAATCGGCAATATGAAGACACAAATGGAGGTTTGGGGTTATTCTTTCTGAACCATAATTTTCTTCAATTAACGTTGCAACTTTGAGCAAATGTTTGTGAGCTTCGTTCAATATGTCACAGTCAATAATTCAATAAACTAGCAGAGAACAAGCTCTAACGAAATTCCCCAAAATTTGTCGATCTGGTTCAGCAAGCAAATCCCACATCAACGGGATAGCATAAATTAAAACAAACGTTTTCAATTGGTCAGCTGTAAATCCAGAAAATCCTTCTCCAGTTGCGATTTTATTTGGAATATGCCCCAAATCCATGGATATTTGTATGTATTTTGCTCGCTTTTCCATTTTTCTAGATCTTGTTTCGTGATCTTGTTGCCATCGATCCATAATTTTTTAATTATCCAATGGGCTATTCTGAGGAACAAACAGTGCATTGGATCTATGACAATGTATCTTATCGGATTAAAATACGGCAATCGAAGCAGTTCGGACCATCTAACATGGGTTGAACTCACATGACGTTTTCTTTCCTCCTCAGATTTACACAGTCTCTAAAGCTCAGCATTCCATCAATGTTCATCCAAATCTCTTTCTACAAACCAGTCAACCATATCATCAAAGCCACCAAAATTTGACTTATTTCTATTTCCATTTGAATTTGCAGTTTTATAACACCTATTGCAGCTCACTGATGCTGATATGTGACCGCAGAGCTTCCTCGCCGCAGGAATGTCATTCGAACAGCATATTAATGCCAATCGGATATTTTTTTCAGCGGCGGTAATCTCAATCCCATCCCAGAACTCTAATAAATCATCAACAATCAGAGCAAGATAATGGTTAATTTTGTGTAACTTAACCTCGCTTGGTCCTGGTAGTAGACCAAGCGTCAACATATTTTCTTTTTTAAATCTAATTTCACGCTGTAGGTTACAAATAACACCATAAATAGCCCCACAGCACTCGAAAGGCTGAAACCAATTGAGATTAATCATAATTCCCAAGTTGGAATCTGCAGTCTCCGGTGTAAAAAATGGGACGTCTGAAGTGTCTGGAAAAGTTTTCCAGATTTTACCGTCATAAATATCTGCTAACATACCATTATTTACATCCAAATTGGTCCATTTTTGCAGTTGTTGCTTGAATTCTGGTCTCTGGTACAAATTGTTTATCTGTATTTTCAAATTCGGCAATGGAAATAACAATTTGGGGCATCTTTTATTTCCATTACCTGCACAGTTAATTCCATTCTGCAAAATTTTTCCTTCAGTTTCATTGGAAATTCTATATGCGTACATTTAAATCCTTCATCCGCAACAACATCAGCTATATTATATAATGTATTACAGCTCAGACATACTGCGTAAGTCATAGATTGGTTGTCGATTCGTAATAACTTAGTCGCAGTGTATAAAGAAGACGGGAAATCTTTGAATCTCGTCTGATTAGCATCCATTAATACTTGATGAAAAAACTTTATTAAAGAATCTAGTGCAACATCCGGCAAGCAAAATCTTGCTTGATATTTGAATATCCATGTTAATATCCAAGAATCCGCAATATTAACATTTGTGTCGGGATATGCAAATTCTGAATCATTTTTGAGCGCAGCAAATTGTTTAACAGAATCATCGTCCAAATCCATATTGTCTTCTGGAGAAATGTCACCTTCATATTCATACTCATTAATCGGTTCATTCCTTTCCTTATTGGTTTCTAGTTCTCGAAACTGGTCTTGTCTACGCTAGGGGTTCGATCCGTAATTTGGTAAATTCGGATTGATCCGCTCATTTGAATAAAAATCGGATATCCTTATCCGATGATTTCTGACGGATGGATCCATAAATTTATCAGATTAAGGATTGCAGATCATCCAGATTATAATCCGGATTGTAATAATATAAAATTAAAAATTTTAAAATTATGTCAGTCTTTCAATCTTAGCATTAAATTTATTTTTTTTTCGCAATTCATTTTTCTCATTTTGGACTATTTTCACACTGCCTTATACTTATTTTTATCATGTTCCTTTTGCCCTCAAACCATTCCTATTTCATTCCTTTAGCCCCTTACGGGACTTTTGCTATTTTTTTTTCTGAATTTTAAAACCTTTACTATGGCAGATAGTTCAGATTTTTATCCTGACGAAGATTTTAACTTTGAAATACCAGATGTTATCTTGGAACAGCAAATCGAAGCACCTGGAAGTTCAGAAATTTTGCATGAACCAGTAGTTACTAGAAAACTACCTGTCGTTCAAAGAACCCTTTCCTTTTCCACAATATCTTCAGGAAACAAAGAAAAAGGTACTGAAGTTTAAATTTTAAAATTATAAATTGCAATAAATTATTATTTATTTTATTGATGTAATTGTTTTTTATCTAGGCAAAGGAGCTGAGCTTCCTGAGATTAATAGTAAATATAAGCGTAAAAAACCATCATTTACTCAGGAATATTTTGAAAAGGAGGTTAATGATAAAGGTGAAGACATTCGAATTTGCAATATTTAGACGGAAGTGGTATAAAATGTGGCCAAAAATATAAGTGCAGAAAGAGTGGAAGTTTAACAGGCAATCTTATCGTGCATCTTAGAGACAAACATAATATTGTATCATCTGATGATGCAGATATTTCAAAAAAGGTAAATACAGCTGTTGACCGTTATGTATTCATTAAATTTTTTTTTAAATACTGTCATATTGTTAATTTTTAGCCACGCAACTCTAAAATTACTGATTTTGCACGAAATCATAAACCTCATCCTAAACATATTCAAAAAAGACGTGAAGAAGCAACCCTTAAATGGATGTTACTTACAAATCAACCTTTTTCTGCAGTTACTAATGAAGCCTATAAAGAAAAAATGGCAGAATTCGATCCTTCCTTTATTAGTCCAGGAGAAAAAAAAATTAGAACAATGGTTGTTAAGAGTTATAAGTTTAATCGGGAAAATTTGCAGAATCTCCTTACCGAAACTGCTGAAAATGTTTCTCTTACAATTGATCTCTGGTCCAGTAGAGCCAAGCATGGATATTTAGGAGTTACTGCAACTTGGATTACGTCAAAATTTGAAATCAAAGATACAATGCTAGAAAATAAATATGTCCTTTTCCACATACTAGTAACATTATTGCCAATGAACTTCATAAGTGTATTGAAGCATGGAATCTTGGAAATCAAGTGACTTCAATCACAACGGATAATGGATCTAATATGGTAGCAAATTTCCTTTATTGAATCAGAAAAATGGATGTGAAAATATCTGACATCTTCCTTGTACGGCACACACTCTCCAGTTGGCAATTGGAAAGGGATTAGCTCTAGCAGAAATTTTGGTAGCACGCACAAGGAGACTAATTAATTTTTTTCAATATCAAAAACAAGTGGAAAGATTAGAGCAGGTGCAGAGAAAACTTGACTATACAGATATTTTGCGTTGTATTCAAGATGTATCCACACGTTGGAATTCATCGTACTATGCGTAAGATTGTTTATTTTTTTTAAAGGATGCTATTACTCAACTTCAGGCCGATTTATCCACATCAACAGATTGTGAAATCAAAAAAGATGGAAATAGATTGAAGAGATTGTTACTTACGGATGATGAATGGGAGTTGCTGGACCAACTTGTTGATTTGCTAATGCCATTTGAAGAAGCAACTCNTTCTTTTAAATTTTTTTGTTTGCTTAATAAATAATAAATATTCAGTTATTCTCATTAAAAATTGCATGAATTATTGTTGGATGATTTAAACTATATAATAGTCTAATGCGGCACGTAGTGCCGCATTAGACTATTATTTATAAATAAACTTTTGCCTCATCAGCATAAATTTACAAGACGCTCCTTCAAATATGTCGCTATTTGCAAATATATTGTTATAATTAGAGCTCCGAAACCTGACCCGACAGATCAGGTGACCTGATGGGTTGACCTGAAATATTCAGGTCAGGTCATCAAATTCATGACCTAAAAAAACTCTTTCTCCTTTTCATTTTTACAAAAATTTCTGCAAAACTTTTTTTATAAATTTTTTCACTTTATTTAAAATTTTTTACATAATTAAAAATGGCTAACATGGGAAACTCAGTTGAGAATATGTCTGTTGATGACTTTTTAGAGTTCATTTCAGCAGAAGGGGAAACGTTCTTATCTTATACAACATTTCAGCTTGGACAGTTTGTTGAGAACGGTTTCCTCAAAACTTTGTTTGATAAAAACCCACAGCGACCTATGGATAAAGCACAGCTTTTAATATATGTTTGGCGAGTCTGCCAACCCAAACAACTTTGCGCAACAGGCGGCGGCGATGAATATACAACCAACCACCCTTTCACTATTATTTTCTATAGCCCTTTACGCTTCGTCCAGGTCGTGGAATAATTTTGCTACCTGCGCCTATACTAGATTTGGTGATATGGGTGATTCAGAGTCGGAATGTCCCTCCGCTGATGACGAATTTGGATCTACATTTTTATCAACTCTGAAAACTACACCAAAACCAGTACATGTTACACCCCCAATACTGCCTGATGTGGAAATGACTCCTGTTGATCAAACTGTGACACCCGAAACTTCCCAGAAGAAAGATAAACAAAACGCGCCATGTTGCAAAAGATAAACAAGTTATACACCAATCATTTATGGCAAATCCTGAAGCACAAACCCCGGACAAACAAAATACCCTTTTCTTAGGGGCAAAAACTACCGCACCTGGGGTTACACATATACTGACAGGATACAAAGAAAGCGATGACGAGCGAGAGCAAGTCAGAGATATTATTATATACAACATTCCGTATACCTGGAACGTTGAAGAAATCTTAGGAGAATTAACGTTATGGGGCAAAACTATTAAGTTGTCATTAAAATGGCAACACAAATATCAGACTCTTAGAGTCAAAATAGTTTTAAACTCATTTACCTTTCCCCAATTTAACAAGTTCTGGACGATTGACTGGGAGGTATACCAGTGAGATGGTTCCCTGCAAGTTGGACTTTACGAGAAAGAAAACAATGCGAAAAGTTCCAAGCTGTCATTCACGATATTCCGGTTGACATGACGATGGCTACCTTGTGGGCTGACCGTAAACCACAACCGTTTTTAACGACGTGCAGTGCTAGCGCGTTTAAAATTATACAAACAAGTAAAGGTAAGAGGAAGCTCGTAAAATATTTCGAGAATTGGGAGGCTACACTCAAAGCCTTAGGAACTCCTCAAGTTTGCCTGGAGAATCACTAGGAGTTGCGATGGTGTCAACACTCCTTACCTACCTTGAAGAAAGCACCAACTAAACAAAAGGCTAAGAATGTTCCTGACAAGGAAATCAAACAATTATTGGCTAATGCCAGTTCGATCAAAGTTTAGTCCTTATGGCCAGAAAGCTGTACCATCAATGATTTCCAAGAGATTATTTTTAAGCTTATGAATACGATCTGGCAATTCTTCAAAATTAATTACAGAAGGGTAATTATTTGCCACGATACACATCTAGATGTGTATAAGAGACAGGTATATAAATTGCAAATATATTGTTATAATTAGAGCTCCGAAACCTGACCCGACAGATCAGGTGACCTGATGGGTTGACCTGAAATATTCAGGTCAGGTCATCAAATTCATGACCTAAAAAAACTCTTTCTCCTTTTCATTTTTACAAAAATTTCTGCAAAACTTTTTTTATAAATTTTTTCACTTTATTTAAAATTTTTTACATAATTAAAAATGGCTAACATGGGAAACTCAGTTGAGAATATGTCTGTTGATGACTTTTTAGAGTTCATTTCAGCAGAAGGGGAAACGTTCTTATCTTATACAACATTTCAGCTTGGACAGTTTGTTGAGAACGGTTTCCTCAAAACTTTGTTTGATAAAAACCCACAGCGACCTATGGATAAAGCACAGCTTTTAATATATGTTTGGCGAGTCTGCCAACCCAAACAACTTTGCGCAACAGGCGGCGGCGATGAATATACAACCAACCACCCTTTCACTATTATTTTCTATAGCCCTTTACGCTTCGTCCAGGTCGTGGAATAATTTTGCTACCTGCGCCTATACTAGATTTGGTGATATGGGTGATTCAGAGTCGGAATGTCCCTCCGCTGATGACGAATTTGGATCTACATTTTTATCAACTCTGAAAACTACACCAAAACCAGTACATGTTACACCCCCAATACTGCCTGATGTGGAAATGACTCCTGTTGATCAAACTGTGACACCCGAAACTTCCCAGAAGAAAGATAAACAAAACGCGCCATGTTGCAAAAGATAAACAAGTTATACACCAATCATTTATGGCAAATCCTGAAGCACAAACCCCGGACAAACAAAATACCCTTTTCTTAGGGGCAAAAACTACCGCACCTGGGGTTACACATATACTGACAGGATACAAAGAAAGCGATGACGAGCGAGAGCAAGTCAGAGATATTATTATATACAACATTCCGTATACCTGGAACGTTGAAGAAATCTTAGGAGAATTAACGTTATGGGGCAAAACTATTAAGTTGTCATTAAAATGGCAACACAAATATCAGACTCTTAGAGTCAAAATAGTTTTAAACTCATTTACCTTTCCCCAATTTAACAAGTTCTGGACGATTGACTGGGAGGTATACCAGTGAGATGGTTCCCTGCAAGTTGGACTTTACGAGAAAGAAAACAATGCGAAAAGTTCCAAGCTGTCATTCACGATATTCCGGTTGACATGACGATGGCTACCTTGTGGGCTGACCGTAAACCACAACCGTTTTTAACGACGTGCAGTGCTAGCGCGTTTAAAATTATACAAACAAGTAAAGGTAAGAGGAAGCTCGTAAAATATTTCGAGAATTGGGAGGCTACACTCAAAGCCTTAGGAACTCCTCAAGTTTGCCTGGAGAATCACTAGGAGTTGCGATGGTGTCAACACTCCTTACCTACCTTGAAGAAAGCACCAACTAAACAAAAGGCTAAGAATGTTCCTGACAAGGAAATCAAACAATTATTGGCTAATGCCAGTTCGATCAAAGTTTAGTCCTTATGGCCAGAAAGCTGTACCATCAATGATTTCCAAGAGATTATTTTTAAGCTTATGAATACGATCTGGCAATTCTTCAAAATTAATTACAGAAGGGTAATTATTTGCCACGCCATCTGAAGTGACTGATATCTCTGCAAAATGAATAAAACAGAAAAGAAGCCTGGAAAATCCACGCAACAGTCTGGTAACGTTAACCTTAAGAAGAAGGACCAGAAATTCTCAACTAGTGCTAAGAAGCAAGCCAACTCTACTAAAAACCCGTTGAAGGATCCCAAATCCCAGAAGTCAAAGTCCAATAAGAAGTCTATGGACAAAGGAGGTAATAAGGATAACACAGTGGTTTTAGCAGAAATTTTATCCTTACTGCGGAAATTAGTATAGTTATTTCTGTCGGTTGACTGCCGGCGATTCTTACTTTTTTTTCTTAATAATTTAGTAGTTATAAGAATAATAGATTTTATTCAGAATAGGCAAAATTCTTTTTTTTTTTATCTTTGACTGGGAACTCTCGCTAAATTAGTGTTTGAGTGTCTTTTTTTGTTCTATTTGGTTCGTAGCTTGAGTTGCGGCTAAGCCTGCGTTTCTTGTGGAGCGAGGCTAGGTGACCCTTCAATTCGTTCGAGAGGTTGGGTTTTTTCATTAATTTGGAACTATGGTTTTACTTTGTAGACTCCTGTTCCTATGTATCGTAGGACCCCAGTACTAGTCTTTATTTTAAAAATAAAAATAAAAATAAAATAAAATAAATTCATGACCTGACACAGGTCGGGTCAGTGCTGGTCGGTACCTGACCAGACCCGTTGACCTGACATATATTTGGGTCAAATAAATTAAATAACGCCAAAACTTATAATGATTCCAGCGGTTTTACATGTAAAATTAAAAAAAAACGCTAAAACTATCAGTTTCGGCATTTTTACATGTAAAATCAAAAAGAAAAATGCCATAACTAATGATTCCGGCATTTTTACATGTAAAACCAAAAAAGAAAAATGCCGGAACTAATTATTCCGGCGCTTTTACATGTAAAATCAAAAAATAAACGCCGAAACTATCAGTTTAGTCGTTTTTACATGTAAAATCAAAAAGAAAAACGCCAGAACTAATGANCGCAAATGGCGGTTCACAAATTAAAGATCCAATTATTGTTAACCACAAATTTTTTCAACGAAAAAGTTTAGGATTTATCTCTTGGAACAACATATATATAATTGATAGAAATGGTCGGATACGGCCATTCAACCTATCATCTTTAACTCGATGATTAATAATATTAGTTAACTGATCGAACAATCGTTAATGGAGGACATTGTAGATTGGTCTTTCACTCGTGAATGGATTAACACAAACCCATTAGACACGCCCTGTAGTGCTAAATTGTCAAAAATACAAGGCAACAAAATTAAAAAACTTAATTTCGCGCATCCTACAATAGACATACAACAAAGAAATTATCCTCGTTTATATCCTCGAGGCATCATCCCTTGTGTCTGTCTCTTATACACATCTAGATGTGTATAAGAGACAGTTATTCCAGCGTTTTTACATGTAAAATTGAAAAATAAATGCCAAAACTATCAGTTTCGGCGTTTTTACATGTAAAATCAAAAAGAAAAATGCCGGAACTAATGATTCCAGCATTTTTACATGTACAATTGAAAAAAAAATGCCGAAACTATCAGTTTCGGCATTTTTACATGTAAAATCAAAAGGAAAAATGCCAAAACAAATAGTTTCGGCGTTTTATATATAAAAACAAAAAGTAAAAAACGTTACAAAACGTTTTTTTACAATATTTAATAATAAAACTTCAAGTAACCTGAGTTACCCAAAGTGACCCGAATACTTTCGGGTCAAATGGGTCAGGTCGGGTCAGAACGGTTTACCCGACCCGACCTGACCTGAAAAAAAATTTTAGTTCAGATTAACCAGGTAACCCGACCTGACCCAACCCGTTCAGAGCTCTAGTTATAATACGTAAATAGTCCAATTTTATTAGTGATCTGGATCATCGAAATTTAATCTGATTGGTCAGATTTCTGTTTGATTACGATAAATATGGAAATAAGCACATTTTGTTTACAACAGGAAACAAATATTTTTTTTACCGTTTTGCCTATTTGCAAATTTTTCTTTTTTTTGCCGTTTGCCTATTTGCGAATTTTTCTTCTTTTTGCCGTTTTGCTTATTTGCAAATTTTTCTTATACCATCTTACGAATGCGTTACCTATTTTTTGTTTATTTTTGCTTATTATATCGCCATTTACTTTCTACGTCCATAATATATGGTGTAAAATTATTGGACTCGTTCACTGACAATGGTTGATATACTGGTATGTCAGTTACTCAGCTGAACGAGTTTATAACAAATTAATAATAATAAGCACTTTCACATTCAACAATCGTTAATGGGAATATTCCAATTTTATTCTGGAGACAGATACTGAATCTGTTATTTATCGCTAACCTTCACTATTTCCTTTTTGTAAAACAGGTTTCATTGAGTTGTGTTTCAAATATCCTCCTGTTTTTATAGGTGCGAGAACATGCCAATTTTTTGATGAATTTAATGCTTCTTTGCTCCTCACACTCAATTGAAGTGAAATATAGAACGACGTTGCATATTTCTTTCGATTTTCATTTTACTGAGTGTAACTTTAAAAATGGTAAGCGAATATTTGTACTGATCTTCACTTCTAACAAAATAAACTTTATTCGTTTTTAGCGATCAGAAATGAAATGTATATATACCGATTTTGATAAACTTCATTTAGAGGCAAGCCTGACTGATGGGTCTAATGGTATTATGGTAAGTAATAATAGGTATACTTTTTTTTGATATAACATTCTAGTTATGTATTTTTTTTCATGCATATTTTTACATATAGTACGCTGTGGTCTGGAACCACCCAAGATTTTTGACTACCTAGGGATGAAGTTGTAAGGTGCTTGTACCTGATAGGCTAGCCTCCTCTGATCTAGGGTCTCATTAATCAGGAGACAATGTGGTTCCTAAGTACCTTCCACATCAAGGGCGGACATTTTTTGTAAAATCACACGTTGGGAATACTATCTCGTAACGGATACTTCAAAGACAAAAGGAGCGAAAAGCCTTCAGTTTGTTGTTAGCGGTGAAGATATAGTGGTCGTGCCATTTAATGGTTGCGTTGATTGATTAAAGGTGAGTTCATTCCTAGCACAATTCGTTTAGATAATTAACATGACGGTATCTTTAAATTGTTCCTACTTTCAGCAATCGGCAAATTCGATCTCTGATATCAGTCACGTCTAAATCGGATATCGCATGGCAAATTGCATATAGCGGTGTATATAACACCGATACTGTAAATGGTACTATCATATGGCTGAAACCAATCAAAATTCAGCATCAAGCCAAGATGAGAATTGGACTTCGACTTCTAAAATTTGGGATTCTTCAACGAGTCTTTAGTAGATTTAGCTTGCTTCTTAGCACTAGTCAAGGAATTCTGGTCCTTCTTCTTAAGATTAACATTACCAGATTGTTGCACGGATTTCCTGGGCTTCTTATCAGGAACATTCTTTGCCTTTTGTTTGGTTGGTGCTTTCTTCAAGGTAGGTAAAGAGTGTTGACACCATCGCAACTCCTAGTGATTCTCCAGGCAAACTTGAGGAGTTCCTAAGGCCTTGAGTGTGGCCTCTCAATTCTCAAAATATCCTACAAGCTTTCTTTTACCTTTACTTATTTGTATTATTTTAAATGCGCTAGCACCGCACGCTGTTAAAAATATGGTCATTCCACAAGGTAGCCATCATCATTTCTTTCAGAATATCATGAATGACAGCTTGGAACTTTTCACGTTATTTTCTTTTTCGTAAAGTCCAACTTGCGGGGAACCATCTCACAGGTATACCTCCCAGGTCAATCGTCCAGAACTTGTTAAATTGGGGAAGGGTAAATGAGTTCAAAACTATTTTAACTCGAAGAGTCTGGTATTTATGTTGCCATTTTAATGATAACTTCAAGGTTTTGCCCCATAACGTTAATTCTCCTAAGATTTTCTCAACGTCCCAGGTATACGGAATATCATATACAATAATATCTCTGACTTGCTCTCGCTCGTCATCACTTTCTTTGTATCCTGTCAGTATATGTGTGGTCCCAGGTGCGGTAGTTTTCGCCCCCAAGAATAGGGGTTGTTTGTCTGGTGTTTGTGCATCAGGATTTGCCGTAATTGATTGGTGTATAACTTGTTTATTTTCTGCAACACGCGCCTTTGTTTATCTTTCTTCTGGGAAGTTATGGGTGTCACAGTTTGATCAACAGAAGTCATTTCCACATCAGGCAGTATTGGGGTGTAACATGTACTGGTTTTGGTTTTCAGAGTTGATAAAAATGTAGATCCAAATTCGTAGGACATTCTGACTCTGAATCACCCATATCACCAAATCTTGTATAGGCGCTGGTAGCAAAATAATCCCACAACCTAGACGAAGCGTAAAGAGCTATAGAAAATTTTAGTGAAAAAGTGGAAGGTTGTATATTCGTCGCCACCGCTTGTTGAGTAAAGTTGTTCAGGTTGGCTTACTTGCCAAATATATCTACTAAAAGCTGTGCTTTATCCATCGGTTGTTGTGGATTTTTATCAAATAGTGTTTTTAGGAAGCCGTTCTCAACAAACTGTCCAAGCTGAAAAGTTGTATAAGATAAAAATGACTCCCCTTCTGCTGAAATAAACTTTAAAAAGTTTTCTTCAGATAGTCGACATTTTTATTTTATGTAAAAAATTTTAAATAAAGTGAAAAAATTTAAATAAAATTTTTGCAGAAATTTTCGTAAAAATGAAAAGGAGAAAAAGTCTAAATTTTATCTGTATATTTAATACCGTATATTGCGGGCCACAGTACCCCGGGTATCTTGCAAATTTTGGGCATTTGGACCTGTACCCGGGGGTATATTACATGAGTGGGTACTATACATAGGAGGGGTACAGGATTTTTAAAATACCCGGGGTACTTGCCATGTATAATATCCGAGTATTATGGATAATCACTATGATGTAATCTCTTGTTAAGAATTTCTAAATGTATCCTATTTCTCATATCTTGATACTTTTTCAAGATATTTTACACAAAATTACTTATCTAAATACCCCTATTCATACATAAAAATGTCTTTGTTTGATTTACGTGTCTTTATTTTACGCGTTTTTTTTTTCTTTCTGCTAAAAGTAAAATGGTAGTTATTGGCAACAAGAAAAATAAAAAAACACGCAATCGTTTACCACAAAAGAAACGAAGACAATGGAATGTAAGGGAAAATTAATGATAGTGCATTATTATGAAAATAATAATAGAAATATACGTGGAACTGCCAAAAGATTTGATATTCAGCCCAAACAACTGCGTGATTGTAAAAATAAAAAAGGAACTTTGTTAACGACTGCTCCTCATGTGGCTAAACTTCATCCGGGTAAACCTGCCAGATATCCGAAATTAGAAGATGATTTATTTGCATGGATAAGTGAAAAAAGAGCCAATGGAAATGCCATTACTCGAAAATTAATTACCAATAAAGCCATTTCCTTATTCAAAAGTCCAGAATTATTAGCAAATAATCCGGGTATTGCTGGGTTCAAATTTTCTAATAAGTGGCTTGAAGGATTTCTAGGAAGATATGACCTTAGTGAGCGTCGTAGAACAACAGTAGCACAGCAACTGCCATCAGATTTAATTGAAAAGCAAAATATTTTTTTGAGTTATATTATGTACCTAAGAATTTATAATAAATATGAACTAAAATATATAGGCAATATGGATGAAATGCCCATGTGGTTTGATTTGCTGAGTAATACAACTATAAACCAAAAAGGAGCAAAAATGGTAAGTATTCGTACAACTGGTCATGAACGATCATCATTTACAGTTATATTTGCATGTATGGCTGACGGTACGAAACTTCCTGCAGTTTGCATTTTCAAACTGAAAAATATTCTGAAAGAAAATTTTCCACACGGTATTTACATAAGAGCTAATGAAAAAGGGTGGGTTAACGAACAGGAAATGTTGTGGTGGGTTGAGAACGTTTGGACTTCAAGGAACCTTTTTGGAAATCCACGTTCTATGTTAGTATTAGATTCTTTTCGTGGGCATATAGTAAATTCTGTCAAAAATCTATTTGTGGAAAAAAATACAAACATTGCCGTAATTCCTGGCGGTTGTACATCCAAATTGCAACCATTAGACGTTGCAATTAATAAGAGTTTTAAATCTAAGGTAATTATTTGATCTTTTTACTTCAATTTTATTCTTATTAGTTACTAATATTAGTGAAATTATAGGTTAAAGATCGGTATAATAATTGGATGATATCAAATATTCATACTTTTACTCCAGCGGGAAAGATTAAAAGACCTTCTTATTCAACAGTCGCAACATGGGTTAAAGAGTCATGGGATGAAGTTGATGAAAATCTTATTCAAAGATCCTTTAAAAGTTGTGGAGTTTCGACAAATATTGATGGTTCGGAAGATGATTGTATTTTTGATCATGATAGTTTATTGAATAGAGATAACGAAGTGTTAGAAAATTTTGATAACTCAACCGATGAAAATTATGAAGAAGAATATCCCGAAGAAACTAACTACGAGAATAAATGGGACGTTAAAGTTGTTGTTGAAGTTGGTCGGGAAGAAGATAATGACAAAAGTGAAAGTGAGAAAGAGGAAGATGATGGTAATTATGATTACCAAGATTCTGATGATCATGGAGAAATGCGTCATAGACTAAGCGAATTAAAAAAAGTATATAAGGTAAATTTTTTTATATTATTTTATTCCATTTTATCAAATAAAATTGCTAATTATTAAACTTGCATATAATTAGAAATAAAGAATCGATTAAGGAGTATATTACTATAAATATATTTGTATTACAATAATGAATAACTAATAAATAATACTCCGTTTTAATAAATAAAGTTGTATCCGGGATTTATATCCCTGGTATTTTACAAATTTTAAGATTTTAAATTGAAGATTTCTATGTAAAGTATCCGGGTACTTTAAAATTCCGATAAATTTTTTTAAAGGGGTACTGTGCATAGGGGGGTACTGTGGCCCGCGATATACAGTATATTTTTTATCTTTAACGATTATTAATAAAAATCTTTTCCAAATATTATTAATAGGTGTTGCTGTGCGTGCTAAAGAATGCATAGGATATTCTGAATCTGGAAAAACAATTTGTGACGAATGCTTAACACTAAAGTATAATCCCATATTAAATCATTGTCTTACTATACCAAAACCTGCACCTGAAAATCTCAAATTTACGTCAAAATTCTATTTTGAGAATAAATAATTCTTTAAAAAAACATTTGCAAAATTAGGATCTTCATGAAATTTGAACTATTATTAAAGATGATTATAATACAAATGTATGGATTACATTAGCAGATAAAGCAAATAATGGTGCATTTAAAGAAAAACCTGTATTTACGGGACTTTGTGATGTAATGGTTCAAGCTGCAATTTGTAAAGATAATAATAAAGGCAAACAAAATATTCAATATAATGAAGATTTTACAAATTTTCTTATTATTAGGAAGTTTTAGTACTCGAGCTCTTGATCTTTTTCGTCAAAATTTGGAAGGACGTACAATTCAAAATATACGGTATTTTATTTATTTTATTTATTTATTTATTTATTAATATTATTTGAAATTTTTTCTAAAAAATATCTTTATTATAAAAAAATAATAGTAAACTCTGGACTAACAATGAAAATACACTTACAAATCCTGCTCTTACATTTGAGAATGTTGCCAAATTTAAAAGGCTTATCGATACACTAAATTATCGGGACTAATTGTTGCTATGTCAGATAATACCAAGTTGAAACCTGCTCTTCATTATAGTTCTATTTTAGGCTGTATCAGTAGATCAACGTTACCAATTGAACAAACTAAAATTAATACATATAAAGATATTCAACCAATTATTAATGATATTAAAACAAAAAAAGCGATTGCGAAGGATGTTCGTGCTTATATATTGCAGGTAATTTATTTATCTAAATGACTAAATCCCTTAATTATATTAATAATGATTTACTATTCTATTTTACCAATTATTAGATACCATTACCAAACTTCCCTCCAGTAATTATTGCATTAATTGTAAATGACAGATCTGATAATGCATCAACTATAACCAGCTTTCATCAAGAATTATTAACTCAAATAGCACCACAGCTTAACCTTCCGATACTATCAATTGGATCAGATGGTGCTATTGTTGAATTCAAAGCTCAAGTTGCAATCCAATTATATTCAACAAGTGAGCTGTTAACTTTTCAAAATAAAAAACTTGGTGTTGATTTTAGCTGTCTAGTTTTTCCAAATATAGGCCCTATTATCCATGTACAAGACCCTAAACACGCCAAAAAAACTAGTCGGAATGCAATTATGTCTGGTGCATGTCTTCTTACTTTAGGAAAGTCAACAGCATGATTTGAACAATTATTAAAATTGTCAAACCTTATCATGTAATAAAGCTTGACCGCCAAGACGATGGTGCAGCATATCGTGTATTTTGTTCAAGAAATCTACAAAATTGCCGTGATATTGAAGACATACAAGGACTTTTTGTATACCTTTTTATTATGGGTAATAAGTTGGATAAAAATAATTTTATTATAAATAATAAAATTTTTTCATTATTTTTAATATATCTTTTAAATTTGTTATTAGGTAAACTTATTGATAGTTACTTAAACCGTGAAATAACTCCATTAGAAAGAATTAAAATGTCAATGACATCCTTTTTTTTCCTACGAATTTGAAAAGAATATATAACGAATATAAGTGAAAAGTATTCCGATTTTGTTTCTGTGAGCAAGAATTTTTTAGTGGATCAAAGCTTCGCAATTTTTACTTCTCTTGCGAAGTCTATGGTTTTATTGGTAAAAGCACATCGGGAATATTACCCAAATTATCCATTTTTACCATGGATGCATGGATCAGAGGCTTGTGAACACTTTTTTGATATGGCATGTCAAATTAATTCAGATTTTAATTATTCTGAATTATTACAATTAGTTCCAAAAATTTCTCAATGCGCCAAAGCATTAAGAACAAAAAATATTATATTAGAAAAAGAAAATCTGTGTGTGAAGGTAAGGGTATAATTAATAATTACGAATATATTTATTAAATTATTTATCTAATTTTGATATATTTTTTTTTAAAATAGGATACCATTTTGATTATAATATAGGAAATATTAATGCAAGCAAATTAATGACATTGTGTACTTGGCCATCAGATACCGATATTACTTCAACTATTAAAACTTCATATAAATTAGCATCGGATCTTGCCAAAGCACTTGATATGAACTCTACTCCAAATGAGAAATTATTACAATTATTTATACTAATAGAGGAGCAAAATTTAGAAGTATCAACTGGAATTGAATTAAGTTCAGATAATCCAGATGAATTTTTTGAAATCGATAGAGAAGTTTCTGATGCGATCAGTCAAGCTTCCAAGCATACTACCAACACGATTGATAATGTTTTTAATTTTTCAAATATTGAGAACGAGAATATTAATGATCAAAATTATCAACAACAAATTATTTCAACTTTAAATAATACTACAAGAATCTTTCACTGCATGGTATGGTATTATTAGCTTTTAACAATATATTATTATTAAGTATTAATATAATTAATAATTTTGAAAAGATTTTTCTATTAATAGATATCTTCTTCCAATAGGAGAACTGGATTATTCAACTATGATTGCATTACAAAAACGTCATGAAGCATATAATTCAAGGCTAGTTGAAAGACAAAATCATACACATGCAATCAGTCACGAACAAACAAACACTATTAATTTGTGATTCACCGATCAGTAACATTAAATTCTCAGTGTAACGTGGGGCAAAAATTTTGCCGATCACTAATTAATTCTGGAAAATTACGGAAATTAGCCAATAAGTAACACAAATTTATATGCAATTTTCAGCCACTTCCTTTTTGTAAATACGTCATTATAACCACATGTTTCAATCAAAATGACTTTTCGATAATTTTGTTTTTTAATTTCAAAAAGTTTATTATATAGGCTCTTTCATAATTTCGATCTTTACAATTCTAATATTTGTTCAAATTTTGGGGTTATATTTTAATAAACTTGTTCTAATAATAAAAAAAAAGATAAAAAAGTCATATTTTGTTTATTTTTGGCGAATTTTTATTGAAATTGCTGAAAGTCAAACACAAATTTCATATTATCAAAAAAGGTATTTTTCATTGTAGCAAAACTATTGGTTGTCTGGGATAACCAATTTTAAAACGTAAAATTTATTACAATCTTTTATTCGCAATTTATTTATCAATGCATTTATTCTTCTAAAAACCGTTCTGCATGTTCTTTTTTCGATAAACTTGAATATCTAGTAATCCAATTTTCTATCTTTTTTAGAGAAGGTATTACTTCAGTTGTAATTTCGCCATTCTCTGCCATTTTTTTCAACCCATCCAGCATATCCTTTGCAGTGTATCGGTCACTAGGATCACGTTGTCCAACCATAAAAAAGTGAGTTAACGCCTTTACTACTTCTTTTACTAGTCTTTTTCCACTGCCTTTTTTACCATATTTCTGATTGCATTTAAGTGCCCATCCAAGTTGTAGGTGAAATATTTGATTCCTATTATATTTTGAAAGTTTTTGAACATTTGATCAATTATTTTACATAATAAAACCAATTTTTACTCACTCATCTATATCTGTTTTTGAGAAATCTTCTCTTGATTCTTCACCAATTTGTGATTCTTCTCCTATTTCTTGCTTCAACAAATTCACTAATTCACCTTGTCCCATACCAATATCAAAATGAATATTTCTTCTGTTCAATTCATCTTTTAATTTATCAACTGTCCATCTTCTTAAATCCCAATGATTAGTATTTGTCACTACCAAATGAAAATTGTTCAAATGAATCATACAATAAGTGTGATCTATTAAATTGAAACGCCATTAATGCCATTGAAAAAATAAGCTTGCCTGAAGCTCGATATATTGGCATTGTCCATTTTAAATAAGCCTTGGAATGTTCACCCACCATTGGTTCAGGCTGTACAAGTTCTGTTTTAGTAAATTTACTCACAGAAAAAGTCATCATTTCTCCAAAATTGGGAAGGTCGCGTGCACAAATATATCCAGCTAAGGGACCCTCCGTTGGCCAAGACCATTCAAACCAATTAGAAATTCCTGGTATGGTTTTAACATTACTTTGACTCCTTTGATCACGATTAGGTTTCAAGTAAGCTATTGCTGTACCACTTAAACCATCTAATGCCTTTTCAATATCTTCACCAGTAGTTAAATCAAACCCTAATCGAACATATCTCTTAATAGCATGTGAGATCTTAGATTGATTGAATTAAAAGAGATGAGAATTGCTTTAATGAATATATTTGTCAAAAAAAGCAAAGTAAATATGATTATTACTTGTGCATGGTGACTATCAATTGAGGTTTTAGCTTCGCCTGCCTCTAAAAAACACCACTTTTTACATTCAATATTATACCATTCTGCCCATTTTGAAACCAATGCCATTGTTTCTGAACAATGGTAGTGTGGGCCATTATCACTCATTACGATAACCCATTTTGGCTTTGGATCGAGTAAGGTAAATACTGCATCAAAGTATGAAGCAGTAAACCATGCGTCCTGTCTATTATCATTTGACCAATGGTCAAATGCTTGAATTTCTAATTCGTTGCTTTCTTGATTTTTAGAATATACCAAAACAGTATGCAGTGCCCATCCACGTTTTGCATAGAAGTCTTGTTTTGTTTCTCGAATTCGTTTTGGTAGTATTCGCATCTTATAGTCCACCACAATAAGAATACCATCGTTATTAAGTTGCAAAAGATTTGCATTGAATTGACTGTTCAAATACCCTTTTCTTGTTAGGTGCGCAAGGTAGTATTCTAGCATTTCCTGAAATTCTCTCAATGTTTCTTGTTGTTCATCTCCAAGTAATAATCGCAATTCCTCAAATAAATTGAAGATTTCGTTACATTCAACACACTCTGATATATGATCCTCATTACAATTACCAAATGCAAATGGTAGGCAATGATTAATACAAGGGTCATGCGATACTTTTCCATCACATGTCACATGTAAGTGTTTTGGATAATCACGTTTGAGAAATCGTTTAGAATTTTCAATACTTTTAAGTAAACGCGTCTAATTTACAATTTTGTTATTAGTTTTGAATATTTATAATTATAGAAACAAAAATTGGACGGAATAATACCTGTAGTTCTTGATTTTCAATATTTTGTAAAATTAGATTCGCCAAATCCTTAAATACATCATATCCATATGTACTACAAGTACTACAAAGTCCGCCCAAATCCTCTTGATATACAAATGGTCCATTTCTCAATCTTTCCAAAAATGCTGATCTCTTCATTCCTTTAGGGTACAATTTGTGAAATTTTTCCTAAAGAGCTTCTTTCTGATCACTAAGGTATTTTAATGGCAACCCTGTTTTGGCATCGACCTTGTAAGAACTTAAATTCACATTTTCTTTACTGCTCATGAACCATTCAAATTGATCTTCATGCTCTTGAGGCATAATTTTTTTTCGCATTGGTGGCTTAGGTGCAGCTGGACATCCATTGCCAAATATACGTCCATGTATTTTTGCATTGTGAATTGTATGTGAAGAAACCTACAAAAGATAATGAATTAACTAGCGAAAAATTTATTCATAGGTAATTATAAAATAATTACATGAAGTCTGGTTTGTAATTCCTTATAAGGAAACTTATCTGCAATTATTGAAAGTATTCTTTGTTTTCCATTAGCGCCACGTTTATTTAAACTCAAACTATGCTCAAAACTTTTCCAGAATACTTCTGTAGCATTGAACATATTACTTGGTATTGTTCGTAAAAAACCATTTTGATAAAGCATATTTATCATTGCTTTATCTGATTCAGGATCAGATGATCGCGTCCAAAATTCATACTATAATAATTGGTAAGAAAATTTATTAGTTGAACATTATTTTTTATTTATAATAGAACAAAATTTAACATGTGCTGTTCATCACAGAATTTATATCACGATATACCACCATCATTAGTTATTACCATCACTACCAGATTCGTGAAATATTAATGTGAGATTTTTGCTATTGAAAGTAATAAATTTGTTTAAAAGCTTACCTCCGATTCTTCTTTATCAAATGGTGTTATATTGATACATCCTGTAGCACGTAATATCGCCCGCCATGCTCTCATTTCTCTTTCTGAGAAAATATAACCATTTGGATATAACGAAGCTAATTGACTATGTAATTCAATTATTGGACAATTATTTTCTTTCCATTCCCGAAATAATAAATACCAATCAACTTGACTACATGTTCTTTTTTGTAAATGATATCTGAATATTTGCTCCATTTTTGAATAATCGTGCCATTCATTATAAAAACATACAAATTTTTTCAATTGTTCTAGTTTTTTTTTTACGTTAGAATTATCTAATCCAAATAAAGTCTCGCCTAACCATTCTTTTAACATGCCCATTTTTTTCCACACACTATTAGGATCTGATCCATGAAATTCTTCAGATAGTTGGTTTTCTTTGTAAATATAAATGGAACTTTCATTCTCATTGACAGTTTGGAAAAATAATGCACGTTCTTTAGACCTGGTTTAGATAAAGGATGATGCGAATCCACTTCCAACTCCTTTGTTTGTTGACGCGCCAATTGAATGTATTGTTATATTGATTTTTTGCATATTTATTAAAAAAGGTATAAAGGACAAGTCCGATACAATTTCACTTAGAATGTCATTGTCATCCATACCCATTATCAATGTTCCAGAAAAGCGCGTTTCAGTTTGAAATATTCTTTTATAGAGGTTTGAAATAGCACTAGTAGGGTCATTTTCAACTTCTTCATTAGATTCAGATAAAGATTCACAAAAAAATCCCAGTAACAAATTGTTATGTTTATTTCCTTGAACTATTCGAATAATAAAAGGTCTGTTTTTCAGCTCAACCTGTGTTTTCATACCAATTTGAAAAGGATAGTATTGTTCTACTTTCATTCCGTTCTCCTGTAACGATCTAACATGCCACCAGTTTCTTAAAAAAGGCCCAAAGTGTAAGTCAGGAATAATTATACCAGTAGCAATCAATGTTACTGAAGGTTTCCATTGTTTTGACATGTTTAAACAGTTTGTTATAATATTTAATAACGCGTTGTCAGATTGTTACAAGTATACTCGTTCAAATATATTGATTATCCCCGCCTTGATTATTACTTGCATATATGATCAACATCCTGTGATCGGCAAATCACGAATTAATCCAAATAAGGCTAGTCATATAATTTCACATTTTACAAATAATGATAATTCTGAAATGCGATTTATAAAACAACGTGAAAAGCGATAGAAAGAAAATTGGAAAACAATGACAGCTAATCTTGCAAATTTACAACAAAATGAATTATCAAAATAGAAACGCATTGGTAAAGTTGCAAGTAAAAGTAAGTATAATATATTTTAAACATAATATATTAAATTTATATAATTTATTAATAATTTATTATTTAATGCAGTTATGTGTATTGAGTCAGCAAATATTACTCAAGATTTTCCATTGCAGCAAAATGATTATGTAATTGTACTATATGGAACAAAAATTTGTATTGGCAAGGTAATAGCAATGTATTATGAAGGTTATGGTAACCATTGTTATAGCCAAAATGCAGTCACTCAAATTGAAGATTTATCCTATATTTCATTGCAAATTTATTTACCAATTCATCTCAATATTTTTGCAAGTCAAACTGTGGAAAGTTATACGCTATTTACTCATCATTGCTCAAAATATTATATATCATATTAAATCAAATGGGTTAATAATTGGTGATAGTTCGTTAACATTAACAGGAGTAGCACGAAATATTTTTAATTATTTTAATCGTGATACTGTTAAAAATAGTATTATTAATATGATTAATAAAGTAATGATCATAAATGAAAAATTAAAAATTTTTTTTAGTAAGTCACAAAATAAATTGCTTAGTAGCATGAAAAAATTTAAAGTCATAATAAGAGTTTGCTTAGCAGCATTGAAAATAGTTTGCTTATTGATCTTAATAAATTTTAAAAATTTCATCTGACCTATATATATATTGTTCGGGTCCTAGCACGCCTCTAAAGGATGTATTAAAATCTTCAATTTTTTCTGAAAATATTTTTTAATTACTGTAATATAAAGAAGTTTTTTTTTTAAAAGTAATTTCATAAGTCTCTACTCTCTATATCAATAAATTGAAATTTATGTAAACTTTGATATTAAAATTCTTTTAAATGAAAAATAATATTATATTAAATATCATGAATAATAAATTTTATCATATAAAAGTTTACAGTTTTTTTACTATAATATGCAGCATGCAGATCTCTTAATTAAAAATGTTACACAACCGACATGCACACTGACTGTTATAATGATAATTTCATTAAAATTTGCTGATCATCTAATTCTGATCAACATTATATGAACCTATAATTATACAGATGATCAAGATCTTATACTTTAATCTCGAAAATTTTCAATTGTGTAATTTCTAATTTCTAAAAATATGAGGGGTCGGATACCTAATACCGCTACCGTAAATTTGCCCGGAATCCTTATCTAGGTATAAAACTATATAAAAACTGAAAATTAGTCATTTGTAACAGCGAAAATAGTAAACGAGGTTTCTTGTGTAGTAGTGTAGATGCATTTATTCTATCTTTAGTTATTATTGGAATCAAACCAGAAAGGAATAGCGATCGGAAATTTTAAATTTTTGCCCCTATCTATATCACGTGATTAATTACTTTACTCATATTTATAGATCGGACTTTTAGTGGACAACAATTCGAATTTTTTCTTCGGATTTTTAACGCGTCAAGATAGGGAAACTTTAAAATGCACTTAGCAGTCATACGGAGGGTAGTATTTAGCATTTCAGCCATGCATTCTTTGCGTTATAGTTCCAAGCTGGTATCAAACACAACTCCTGTTGTTGTCCGAAATTCGCTTTTAATGCAACGACGAATTTTCCACAATGTCAACGGGTCTTTTATTAATGATTCAAAAATCACAAGGTTGGCATCTTTATAAATCAATATCAACAACTCCTTGTCCCAGTTACCAAATAATTGAAATAAATTGGAAACGAACCAAAATCTGTTATTTGTGATTGGGGAAATGTTGATTTAAATGTTTTAATGCGATATGGAATGGTTTGCGCGCTCTGATTCTCAGGTTATTTATCATTCAGAAATATTTCATTGCCAAAATTATTTGCTAAGCAGATACAGGTTCGAGAATATGGTGAATATTTCGTATCTTTTGAGTTCTTTGATTATTTGAGCGGAGTTAATTAGAATTTTTTTTTTTTTTAAAAAAAAATGAAATAATAGCTAGTAAGGTAGTTAAAGTTCCTGCTTTAGCCGAATCAATTACAGAAGGCACCCTTTCGAGATGGAATAAAAGTAATATTATTTCTGGTGAATTTTTTCTCCGTTACGGTACTAATAATTTTCTGACCAAATTTTTACTGAATAGAGGTTGGCGATTTTGTTCAGCAAGATGAGGAAGTTGCGACAATTGAAACCGATAAGGTATGATCAAATTCATTTTAAGTAACTTATACTACGATCCTAATTTTCATAACTGTGTTGCAGGTTGATGCTCCTGTTAATTCTCCGTATACCGGCACGATAGTCGAATTATATGCAAAGGAAGATGATACTGTGTCCGTAGACCAAGATCTTTTTAAAATTGAAACAGGTGGAACTCCAGCAGAAGGTATGTAAGTATTTCATGTTTGATTTACATTACTTGATCACGTAACCTTGGTTAAATAATGACAGAAACAGAAACTACAAAGGAAGAAGCTAAGGAAGAACCAAAAGTGGAAAAGGAAGAACCAAAAGTGGAAAAGGAAGAACCTAAAAAGGAAGAACTAAAAGAAGAAAAGGAAGAACCTAAAAAGGAAGAACCTAAAAAGGAAGAGTCAAAAGAACGAAAAAAAGAACTTAAAGAACAAGAAAAGATACCCTCTCCCTCACCACCAAAGACTGGTAACGAATTCTCTGACTTTGAAAAAAAAAGTCGCAATTATCTAATTATCTTCAACATATTATTATTCAATAATTATTATCTATAGATTCTAAATCCGCTACAACCTTGTACGGTGATCGCGAAGACCGTCATGTGAGTGTTATATCATTACGAATGTAATCGATGAGTTTTCCTTTTATAATATTTGTTTTTTTAGGTAAAAATGAATAGGATGCGTCTACGTATTGCCGAAAGATTGAAAGAGTCACAGAATACAGCTGCATCTTTGACTACTTTTAATGAAATTGATATGAGGTTGAAAATGTTTTGTATTGGATTTTTATTAATGAAAATTTTAACTAAACACTTTTAAATATTTGATTTAGCAACATTATTGATCTCCGTAACACTTATAAAGATTCAATCATGCAAAAACACGGTGTTAAGCTTGGATTTATGTCCGCATTCGTCAAAGCGTCTGTTTTTGCACTTCAAGAAATTCCAATAGTCAACGCTTCTATCGAAGGCCCTGACGGTGGAGATACAATTGTTTACAGAGATTATGTTGATATGAGCGTTGCAGTCGCTACACCAAAAGGTCTTGTTACTCCCGTTGTTCGAAACGCTCACCTGTTGTCTTTTATTGAGATCGAAAATGCAATCGCGGAATTGGGTAAGAAGGTAATGGAATTCAATCATTTTTTGTGTCGCATGTTATTTAAGCATTAATAAACTTACTAATCGATAATTCAAATTTCAGGCTCGGGATGGGAAAATTACTATTGAAGATATGGCTGGAGGTACTTTCACTATTTCAAACGGTGGAGTATATGGATCGTTATACGGTACTCCTATTATTAACATGCCACAAAGTGCGATATTGGGAATGCATGCTACAAAAGAACGCCCTGTTGCGGTAAACGGAAAGGTATTTAAAAAGTTTTTATATAATAATTCATCCTATATTTATCTCGAAATATATTTTATTCTTAAATAGGTGGAAATTCGTCCAATGATGTACGTTGCTTTAACTTATGATCATCGCTTAATCGATGGGCGTGAAGCTGTTATTTTTTTGAAAACCATTAAGGAGCAGATTGAAGATCCTCGTCGTTTGTTATTAAGTATTTGAAATGAGTTTTTGAGAGTATTTATTCAGTGTAAGTATTAATTTTATGTCAACAGCTTAAATAAATCGTCAGTATAATTATTAATCATTATTTTTTTTTATTAATTAATAAGGTTAAATAAATCATAATGGATTGATTTGTACTCTGAAAGTATAGAATTGTTTTTTTTATTATTTTTTTGGTATATCTACGATTAGTTTATTTTCGTAAAGATTCCTTATCAAGATCCTTTGGATCGAACTAAATTTGATAAATATTTAATAAATTAGTGTATAACTAATATAAGTAATGTGAAGGGATTATTTGACAATGAATATTTTCATTTTTTTTCAAAATAATTTTTTTTATTTAGGAATAAATAATGTAACAAACACTTAATTCCAAACACCTCACTGAGATAGAATAAAGAGGCAGTTTGGACTCAACGGTATGTAATTTGATCGAAGGTTTTGAAAAACGAAACATCAAATCATAATTCAGTAACGTTTAATAAATTCAAAACTCTTATATGAAAGAATTACAAACCCTAGATAGATTGATAAAGGGATATGCATGTGACCGTAACTAGATGACGTCTAAGCTTTATATGGAACATCTACTTGATTTCGCGTCTTTTCACAACTTTTCGCGTTCGAACCATGGACACCAACAACAACAGCGCTTTTAAAAAACCTCCAAAATTACAACCTCCATTACAACAATTGCAACATTATAATTCTTTAAATAATCAATTAACTAGGTTACAGCAAAATATGGCGAAATTGGAAGAAAATATAAAACTTACGGTAGAACAATTAAAAAATATTCAAAGATTTGGTTTAGCTCATGGCGCTATGTAAGAACTTAGGTTAAATCATCACTATTAATAAAACTTATATTATATAAAACTTACTATTTTTGTATTTTTGTTAGTTTTATGGCTGCAAATCGTACCATGCGTAATAATGCTTCGTGATGTAAGTCAACTTTCTGTCATAAGTAGGAAATTTTGATTTTAAATTATAGAAAAAAAACATGTTAATTCAATATTTTACCGCATCAGTTCCACAAATCTCATTGTTGAATTCGAAAAAAGCACGGAGAGAACAATTAATAGTGTTTGTAATTCACGATTATGACACGAGTTAGTCAACACATTATTCATCGATCGTAATTTTTCTTAATAAAATTATAATAAATTTAATACACGAAAAAAATCAAGGATCTTATATATAAAGAAGAATTCATTTCCAATTTCCAATCAGCCATCAACCGGAAATACTTGCTGCGCTAAATAAAGTAACAATCTCTTTATTTGTCAATAAATTAAATTGCAAGCAGGTTTTTGCCGGACCGAAATAACGGTACTTTTGGGTTTTCCATATTGCTAATACATATAATTATATACGCTGTTAGTCGAGAATAGAAATTTTTGATACCGTTTAATTGTATTATAACGTATCACCACAGAAATTTGATTGTATTAAAAAAATGATTTTTGTTTGTTACATTGCCTATTTTAACAAAGTGTTCAAATATACGTTTCGTTGTACCCGATCAATTTTCTCTTAAATTCATAAGTAAGTAAATTAAGTAAAATTAATTTTTATCAAGTAACCAAGAAATCAAAAATTTTATCAAGTACTAAAAATTTAACATTATTTTCAACAGCCTTCGCGAGGCATTTTGCCTCATTTATCTTTAAAGGATTTGTGTCACTCTTTTCGTATTTCCACCTCCAAATTATTTATATCATAACCTACATTCATTTCCGTTTGATAATTTCCTTTCTCATTCATAACATTAAGTCGAAATGTCAGAGTCGCCAACATTAAATTTCCTGATCGGATTTTTGGTTTCTGTTGCAGCTTCAATTATGAATGCTGCTGGTCTAAATTTACTCAAATTAGATCACGTAAAAAATTCAAACCGGCCACCATCTTCACAAAGGAATGAGTGTGGAAGACCATTATGGCATATTGGTTTATATTTGTATATCGCCAGTCAAATGATTGGGAGTACCATTGCACTAAGTAAGTCTTATAATTATATATTTTTTCTATATTCCTCGATTCTAAAATTTCTTTTTCTTTCAATAACATCTGTTTAGATTTCCTTAAAGCTCAATGGGTTGCTCCTCTTGGCTCGGTTTCACTCATTTTTAACTTTATATTTGCTAGAATGTTAGTGGGAACCGAAATTACAAAGAAGGATATTGTTGGAACATTTGTTGTCATTTTTAGTGTGATTTGGATCGTCATATTTGGAGGAATGAACGCCGGACAGAATGGTAAGAAGATTTTACTTATTCCGAAAAACTACTATAAAAATTTATAAATCTTTTTTCTTTCTTTAGACGAGAATCTCACTTTGGAAAAATTAAAATCACTCATGATGCGCCCACTTTTCATTGTATACTTTTCCTTCCTCAATATAATCACCTTTACTTTATTTGGAATCGCTCTTTATTGTTATTGGATTCAAAAAAATAATGATAGGAAACGACGAGATAATTTTTTTAAGGGAATTGAGATCTCCCGATTAAAAAAAGCAATTGGTATGACTATGGCTGGCGTAGGTGGATTAGTTTCAAGCCAGACTCTACTTTTAGCAAAGAGTGGGTATGTATAAGAAAGAAAATAATTAAAAATTTGATTCAAACAGTGATGATTATTAATATGTGACGCATGTTCGAAGCGTCAAATTGTTTACTATTTCTATTGCAGGTGATAATCAATTCACTGATAATTTAAGTTGGTTCATTTTGATCGGACTTGCTTTTACGGCTGTATTACAAGTTAGTTAAATAACTGTGGTTCTTTTTCATGTTTTTACATGTAACTAAAATATTTTTGCCTTAGGTATATTGTTTAAATACAGCATTGAAACTTCATGATTCTGTTTTGGTTGTACCTATGTTTTATGGCTTCTATACAGGTCTCTTATACACATCTAGATGTGTATAAGAGACAGTGTTTAAATACAGCATTGAAACTTCATGATTCTGTTTTGGTTGTACCTATGTTTTATGGCTTCTATACAGGTAAAAATTTTTTTTTTTAATCATAAACATCCTTAGAGATATTTTTTGTTTAGTATTGTTTATTTCAATGTTATTTAAACAGCAATGGGACTTGTAAACACAATGATATATTTAAATGAAATATCAACGTATCCTCCTTGGGCACTTCTATTGGTTACATTGGGAATAGGTAGTTTAGTTTATGGAGTTTTATTACTTAGTGCGTCAAAAGAAGAACCTAACACGGATTCAATCGACTCTGAATTTGATGATGAAGAAGGAATGAAAGAAGAAAATATGTTAAGTGCGGGATCATGGGATGCAACTAGTACAAGTGGAACAAATAATTCAACAGGATCTCATATAGGGATGTTAAGTGGGAATGGAAAAGAAAATAATAAATCTAACGGAGAAAGAGGAAAAAAATTTGGAGATGGAAGATTTTTTTCAATTTCAAAGAAATCTTCGGTTAGTGAACCAGGTTTTTTCAGAATGTCATTATTAAAAGGAGGGAAAAATAAGTTAAGAGACTTCGAAAATACAGATGAATCTCATCATATAAACAATTATCCTACAACACCGCATATTAATATAGATGATGATGATTATATACAAGAGCAACCAGCAATAACACATTCTATCACATCTCCTGCTACAGCTGCAACAACTTATGATTTAATGCTTTTCTCACCAACTTCAACGAATATAAATTCATCAACTGTTACAATTCAACCAATATCTTCTGCATCTAACAATTTTACTCCTTTACCAAGGCATAGAGTAGTTGATCATATATACGAAGATGAATCAATAATGTTTACTAGGAGTTTTGATGATTTATTACATACTGATGAAATAACAATTGATGAATGGACTAATAAAAATAATAACAATAATAATGAAAATAATAAAAACTAATAAAAGTAATTAATTAGAATTAAGTCTATAAATGATTTAATATTCCTGGATAAAAAAAAGGATCGATTGTGAGTTTTGTAATTATAAGCTTTAAATTATTGACAATACATTTTCATTTAAAATATTAAATTAGGGATTTTTCAATTAAGTCATGGATTCTTATAATTTCTAATTAAAAAATACAGTTTTTGCATAAATATTACTTATTATAAAGAACAAGAGTTCTCTAAAAGATAGCAAATCTGAATTTAAACTATTAATTTGCTAAATTATTTAGGAATCAATTTGGTATTAATATATTTTTGAATTTATTCAGGGAGATGAATTCAGTTAATTTAGTTTCCTATCATTTATATGATTGGTTAATAAACCTAATGTCTTTTAAAAAAAAAATTTGATCACATGAAATCATAAAATTGATTGATAACTCTCACTGTTTATTGAAAAGGGAATGCAAAACTTCGCATTCTTTCGTCGTAACTATCGAAAACATACTAGTAATTTTATAGAAAAACTTTATAAATTTTATTCTACTAAAATTTCAAAAGCCGATATGCAAGCCAACAATCGTACTTATGAGGTAAATTTGTACTTTTTCTCTGTAAATTTTTTTTTTTTTACAAATAAAAAAATTATTTTTTTTTGATAAATAATAAGGATGCGATAAAATGTTTAAATTCTCTACAAACAAATGCTGCTATATTACAAGCTATTCGTGCTTCAGGTGGTCGTTTGAATGAAAAAAGTTTGCCAGAATTTAGAGAACTTTGCAGAGTAATTGGATACGATGTAAAAATCAATCATTTTTTATTGTCAGCCACGTGATTTAAAATTTCGAAATTTTAATTCCGAGTCGGCCAACTTTTATTCTTTAATAAAAGCCTAGTGACTTTAATCGATTAAATGTTATTCATATTACGGGTACAAAAGGAAAAGGTTCAACTAGTGCATTGGTTGAGTCAATTTTAAGACATTATAAACAAGATGAAAATATAACTCCGATTCGAACAGGTTTGTCAATTGATATTTCTGTTACAATTAATAAAATGTATAATTAATTTTCATAAAGGTTTGTATACTTCGCCCCATCTTATTGCCGTACGTGAAAGGATTTGTTTGAATGGAAATAAACTAAGCGAAGAAAAGTTTACGAAATATTTTTTTGAATGCTGGGATAAATTTGATTCAAATAAAAAGGTAAATCAAATATTTATATTCAATATATAATTAATAGAGATTTAATTCCCATCTTATATAGGAAGATAATAGTCAATCTGCCAAGCCGAACTATTTTAGATTTCTTACTTTAATGGCATTCCATGTTTTTATGAACGAAAATGTATGTTATATATAAAGATTGTTTAAATAATGAATACTAGCACTTTCTAAGTACTTTCTCTTTTTATTTCATTCTCTTCTAGGTTGATGTAGCTATAATGGAAGTTGGAGTCGGAGGAGAATATGATTCAACAAATATTATTGAAAAACCAATTGTATGTGGAGTAGCATCTTTGGGTATTGATCATCAAACAACTTTGGGTGATACAATTGAAGCAATAGCTTGGCATAAGGGTGGTATTTTCAAGGTAAATACAACAGAATAAGTGTTTTTAATGAAAATACGAAATTAGTGTTTCATTTATAATTACATTTAGAGAAATGTTCCGGCTATTACGGTTGAACAGCCAACTTCCGCTTTTGAAACATTAAAGAAACGCGCTATTGATATTAATGTAAGAAAGGGATTAGTTATCGTTTTTAAATTTTTTTCTAAAAAAATTTTTCTTGTATATAGGCTCCATTTATTCCAATTAGTTCACTTGATGAAGAAACACTGGACGGAATTAAACTTGGTATAACAATTATTATCAAATAATTACAATTAAGATAATTTTTTTTCTTTTTTTTTAAAAAAAAAATGTTATTTTATAGGATTAGCAGGAAAGCATCAATTTACAAATGCATCACTTGCAATTGAATTGTGTAGGATATGGTTAGAAAAACAAAAATCTGTTAAATTATCCGAAAAAATTCCTAAAGAATTTATTCCAGGATTAGTTCAAGTTTATTGGCCTGGAAGAGCGCAAGTATTAAAATTACCACAATATCAAAGTATAACCTGGTATTTTGATGGAGCTCATACGTCAGAAAGTGTACAGGTGTGTTTTTATTCTAATTATTATTATGAAAAAAACGGGTTTTAAATTTTCATTCTTTTATTTTAGGCATGCATTGAGTGGTTTAAAAGTAGTGTATTAGAAAAAGATAATGATCTAGTTGAAAGAATATTATTATTTAATTGTATTCATGGCAGAGATGGTGTAGAAATCTTAAAGCAAATTACATCAACAAAACCTTTTATTAAATTTGATCATGCAATATTTTGTTCAAATGTTACTTTTATTACAAATCAATTTAAGCTAGGTATAAAATAATTTTATTTATACTTATTTGTTATAACAGATGAATTTAAAGAATATATTGAAATTTTTTTTACTTCAATTATTTATAGATTTGCAAAGCAATTCAGATACAATTGATGAAAAATTGACATTACAAAAAAACCTTGCAGAATCATGGAGCCAATTAAATTCATCAATAGATAATTATGAAACTCATGTATTTTTATCAATTGAAGAAAGTGTGAAATGGATTATAGAATATTATCAACAAACAAATAGAGAAATTCAAGTATTAATTACTGGAAGTTTACATCTTGTAGGAGGTGTTATGGCTGTATTAAATATTGATGTTTAATAAATTCAACTTTATTTATTTTTATAATAAAATTACTCTTTACAAGTATTTAACAAAAAAAGAAAGAAAAAAAAATTAGTTAATCTCTATATTTAATTCTTTATGTAAAATACTTTTAAAGTAATCATTTGCTTTTACTGAAAATAAATTTTCCCTTTCATTTATATCAATTTTATGTCTTGATATTTCATCATGTTGTATACTAGAAAATCTAGTATAATTTTTACCACCAATTTGATTTAAAGTAATTGATATTTGTGAATTATTATGTTGTTGATTATTATCATCTAACATATTATAACCAATAAATCTTATATTATCCATATTTGAATTACTTATAATATCTTTAATTATAAATAAATCAGTTGTTGATATAAGTTTAACAATATCCCCTAAATTAATTTGTTCTGTTCCAATTAAAATGGAATTATAGTGATATAAATTTTTTTCAGCATCATAAAATGATGGAGAATATAATGTATAAGTTTTTTTTAAATAAGTAATACATAAAATTACTTCTAGGTATCTATAGTGAGAATGGCAAATAACTATTATAGTAATATAAATAATATTAATAATAATGATAAAAATAATAAATATATGATATTTTAATAATAACTTACCTTTAACTTGTTTTGATAGGATCTTATTTGTAATGTCTACCAAAGAAAAAGATAAAGGAGAAATATAATCTTCTAATACAATAATTTCTTCAACAACAATATAAATAAATTTAACTGTATATACAAATTTTGAAATAGAATTATTATAAGTTGAATTTGTTATAAGAGCAGGCCAATAAGGAATTCTAGCATTATGATTTGTAATAACTTTGTTGACATTCTCAAAAGTTTCCATTGAATCATCACTTAATAAGCAAATCCAAACTACTTCATTTATTCTATATTGTGCTTTACATAATTGATCAAGCGAATCTGATTGCTTCACTTGAGAAGAGGAGTTATTATTTAAAGAATAATAAGATATTTTTGATATTTGAGGATTATTTGGTGAATAAAATGAAACTTTTTGTAAAGATGATTCGTCCTTATAAGGTGGAGTAAGCGAAGAAAAATTATTCTTTGTTAAAGAAGTATTAGGTGTAAAATTTGAATTAAAGGAGATTGTTGGTAAAGATTTATTGTTGAAATAGGATTTATTATTTAGAAAGGATTTATTTGGTAAAGTGGAAATAGAAAGTAATGACGAAAAAGACTTAATTATCTTTTGTTTTTTAATAATATTTTTTGTAAAATTTAAAGGTGTAGATGCGGAATTTTCCAATTCTCTTTTCTTTTTTGCAGTACGACTATTCATTGGACAATAACAACATTTACAATCTTCAGATTTATCTGATATAATCCATATTAAATGTGGCGTAAATTCGTTAGTTGAACGAAATCTATACTTTCCTAAAAAAAAAAAAAAAAAAAAAANAAAAAAAAAAAAAAAAAAGAAAATATAAAGAAGATATTTTCGATTAAAAATTCTTTCAATTTATAAGTTAATGTTAAAAAAATTATATGTGTGTATATATATATCTTAATAATTACCGAATAAATAATTATCCGTACGAACTTTAGTTTTTAATTCTGAATCATTATACGTTATAAAATCATAAAATTCGTAACCACTAGGAAAATTCAAAAGATGTTCTTGATCTATATAAAAATTGAAAAAAAAAATCAATCAAAATATATAAAATACGTATAATATTTATAATATCTTAACCGAACATGTAATATTTTTTATTTACCTTCTGTAATTAAAGTATTGTATTTTTGTCGTAAATAATTTGCGATAGCAATACCAAGTGGCTTTAACCATTTGGTTTGAATTTTATAATGATCAATAGTAATATGATCAATTTTAATATGTTTTGAACCATCTTTTGATATTTTAACTTTTTTATCATTTGGATAATTGATTTTTATGTTTGTTGCATCACTATAATTTATTATTATTCCATTTTCCTTTATACTAAAATTATTATTCATATTCATTTTTTAGATCTGATAATTAGGTGTGTAAAAAAAGGAAGAAAAATTTTGAGTTATATATCGTATTCGTTACGTATTTAAGATTTTTATTGTACGACAAAATGCAAAAAATGTCATGCGTATATTGCATGCATACATATATACTCATAATATTTTTTTTATTTATGGAACTAAACGAATAGCGCAGCAACCTACCACAATAAATATAAATATATATATATATATATAAGTAAGCGAAATATTTCGTATGATGATAAACTAGAGTTTTATCTCGTCTTTAAGAGTATAATTATATATTTATCTGCATATTTATTTTGCATATTTATTTACTCGCTAAATTTCTCCCATTATTTAATATTTGGCGAACTTTTATTCACAGCATAAATATTATACTTCTTGAATCGCGTCTATGATACTCTAAAGTCAATAGTAATAGTTCAAATTCATCTCTTACATGTCGAAAAAAATTATGTAATTGCGTATTGGCGTTTTTTTTTTTATTTATGCATTACAAAACCTATATTAGCATTTATTGTGAGGCATAAGTAAATTAATTAAGAAATATTAATAAAACCTTGATATATATCACCTATAAATCCACCATTTCTTAATCATTTTAAACCATAAGCATACACTGTGTAATAAATTTTGATCGAACCAATTAAATCAGAGTATTATTAATCCCATAATTTTTCAACTTACAAAAGGTAAATTATGAGCAAAGTTTTTGGTTTGATCTTTACAATTCATTTTGAGTTCATGGAATTCTATTATTTAAAGGAAGATGTGATATTATTTTTTTTTTTTTTTTTTTTTTGGCGTTTTTCTAAATAAGAACAAAGGACACTGAAATTGCATAAATGTATGCATGGTGGGCCAATTTATCGGAAAGAAATCCGAATCATATGCATTAATGATAAGACACTTTATTTGTGTATGAGAATTTTCAAGAAATAATAAAGTAACTAGCTTTGTAATTATATCTATTATTCGTTAGTTTTTAAATAACATGATTTGAATGAATTAAAAATTAGGATAAACTGAAATAATAATAATTATAATAATAATAATAATAATAATAAAATAAAAATAAAAAAAATAATAATAATAATAATAAAAATAAAAAGTGAGAGTTGGTAAATTTAATTTCAAGTATTTCAAGTCCGCTATTATAAATATAATTGTTAAAGAAACTTTGATGTTTTTCCGTGTTCTAACTTTTTTTGGATGATAATTTCAAAGAATCATTCATGTTGTAAAATAAATTACCTTTTTTAGATTATGAATTTCTTCATTCTTTCAAACATATGGTTTCGCCATTTAAAAAAATTTCATTTCGGTATGTTGTGTAACCAAAAAATATTTTCTTTCTCATAAATCTTTAATTTTTAACTAAAGTTTTACGAATGTAACTGTATTATCTGATCGGAATTATATTTCAAAATTAAAAACTAATTTGAATATACAAGCGATATACTCTAAGGTGACGCAAAGTTATAAATTTGGTTTTCATATCACAATATCACAATTTGTCTTTTTTGACCCGGCCGCCCGGATTTTTATTTTAAATTCAAAAATTTCAACCAATAAAATTTAACTGTCCGATCAATAATTTCACCGAATCGTCCATTTCGCCGAACTCCATCCCATGAACATTTCGCCGAAAATGGTAGCGATTAACAAAAATATTCATCGCGAGCAATGAACATAAAAATTAAATTATTTAGAGATTTTTTTTTTTTTCCAGGATATTATCACTTTAACATTCAAGTAACTAATATTAATTGTTAAGCAATAAATAAATAACTTTAGTAAGTAAAAAAAAGATTAATGTATTATAAACAACAAGATAAATTTAATAAAAATCAGCTAATGCCCTATAAAAAATTTTTCAGAAAAATGATCACGTGTCTGAATTTCTTCGGAATAAAAATCATTTATCGGAGCTTTTTCCAGAATTTTTTTTATAATGATGTATTTAATATAAAAACAATAAAATAACCAAATGGAATAAATAATTTTTCGGCGAAATGTCCATTCAGCAAAATGTCAATTCGGCGAAATGTCCATTCGATAAAATGGCTTCGGAATTCGGTGAAATTGGGTTTCGGTGAAATGGTATTTTGGCGAAACGTCCTTTCGGTGAAATATCGCTTCGGTGAAATATCCCTTCGGCGAAATGGGTTTTAGTGAAATGGTTCGGCAAAAAGTTTGGATACCATAATTTCATATGTTAAACTGCGTTAAATGATATCATAATTATAAAATTGCTGATCTTTTTTTTCGTTAGAATAAGAAATTTTCTTTAAAGAAATGTGTTTTGTCTTTTATGTATGCGATTTAGTCAATTTAAAGATGTGGTTTCCGTGGTTATCACAATGATAAAAAAAAAATTTTGAATTTGTGATTTACAGATCCGGCCGGGATATGAAATCAAATTTATAACCGATCTGCCGCTGCTATAGGGGTTTTTATATAACTGATAATATGCATTCTGCAGATCTGCAGATATGTGATAAAGAATATAGCACGCGTAAAATACGCGGCTTATCTGGCTTATCTGTTGCTCGAATAACATGCCACGTGGTGATACAAGCTACAGACATTGCAAAATGAATCGTTTAAAATATTTGTAATGAATTTTTTGAGGCTTGAAAAATGATATTTATACGGTCCCATTTCTTTGCAAATTTTTATTATTTTCGTAATATTATTTATTAATATTACTCTATATTATATTGAAAATGAATTTTCATGTAAAAATCTTATTATGGTGCTTAACTCTCTTCATATTTATACAGTATTCGGAATGTTTTTATTGGTTTAAAATAGAGAGACATATGGGAACGAAGACCTTGCCAGTTATATTTACTGATAAGGCGAATCCGATTAAAATACCTGATAAATGTGAATTACAGCAATTATACCTTGTTTCTAGACATGGTAAACAAAATTATTTTCGTAAATAAAAATTGTATTATTATTATTATACAATTTTATAATTTATATATATATATATTTTAGGAACTCGCTATCCTACTGATGGGGATATAAATAAATTCATCGAATTAGAAAAAGTTTTTAAGAATGTTTCATACGCAAAAGAATGGGTAAGTAAAAAAAAAAAACAATTTTTTCTTGTTATATATCATTACTAATTTATTTTTTGTTTTAATAGTATGAAAATCCATTTCCATTATTAAAACAAGGGTTATTAACTTCAAGAGGTGAAAAAGAACTTTACTTTATGGGAAAAAGATCAAAAAAACGTTATAATAAATTTTGGAATAAGATATTACCTTATGATCCAAATATTATTAATTTTCAAAGTTCCGCTGTTTCAAGGTGAGTCTCAGTCAATTAGTTAAATATTATTTTAATTATTTATATTAAAATTTTTTTGTTTTAATAGAACTGGTATATCCGGATTTGCATATTCTCTTGGATTACTTAACGGAGAAGGAACTTTAGGAATAGATAACAGTCAATCAGTTTACATCTCTTCTATTCCAGTTGTAAGTGATTTAAGAAATTAGATAGTAAATGAATATTAAATATTAAATATTATCTTTTAATTATATTTTAGAAACAAGATGAAGAATTAGCAATGCATCAAGCATGTCCACGATGGGCAGAAACAGTAGATAAAAATAATACAATTCTTGAACAACAAAAAACTGAATTCACTACAAATTATATGACAGAAATTTCTCAACGTATAACAAAATCATTTAACATTACACCAGAACTATTGCCTAAACATGCAGATTCCATTTACAGAGCATGTGCATTTGCTATAGCATTTTTTGGTAAAACAAATACTTGGTGTTCATTATTTAATAAAAATGAAATATTGGAATTAGAATATTTTAATGATTTAGTAGACTATTATTCATTTTCTTATGGTAGTAAATTAAATGAAGAATTGGGTTGTTCATTAATTAGTAATATTATTAAGAATATAGAAGATTATTCAAATGGTAATTCTACTTTAAAGGCTGATTTAAAATTTGCTCATGCTGAAACTCTTCGATTCCTTGCAACAACTTTAGTAAGTATCTTTTTTTTAAAAAAAACTTTAAATTTAATACTTCAATTAATTTAATTTATATATTACCAGGGACTATTTAAAGATCAAACCCCATTAACTGTTGATACACTTCCTGAAAAACTCTTGAATAGAAAATTTAAAGATTCAACTCAATTATATTTTTCATCAAATATGTATTTTGAAGTTTATACTTGCGCTGAAAGGAATGAACGCACTACCACTTATATCCGTACATTACTTAATGAAGAACCTATTATCATACCGGGATGTGATTCGAAATATTGTGAATTGAGTAAATTTAAGGAATTATTGGGTGATAAATTAAATTGTAATTTCAAAAAAATTTGTGAATTGTGAATTTTAATAGAAACAAGATAAGAAAAGAAAAAATTTTAGTTAAAAGATGAATTTAAGAATCAATTAAATTAGATTTGTACGTATAATGAATATATCTGTTCAATACATATGTACATTATTATTAAGAAGTTTCATTCGGTTTCTTTATATTATTTATAAGAATTTTTCTTGATTAATTCAATAAATTTCAATAAATTCTTTAATCTTACATGAATTTTCAATGAATTTTGTTTATAATCAATGGGTTATGGTAATTAGAGATTATCGTCATAAAAATAAAAAAAAATTGGTAAGCATCCTTTATCTCTTATTGCCCACAAGCAACTTTTCACTTAAGGCTTATAATAGTGTAACCTGACTAACCAAGCAAAGTTGACCAACTTCTTTACTGTATGAAAAATTCATTAAGACTGAAAAACCGACAGACAATCCTTAAGTAGAATACGTTATATAATATTTATACTGTTCAATTTCTCCACTTACTCTAATAAGATTACATCTATTTATCTGAGACTAGATAGAATGATTTTAAATAACAGAAGTAATAAATTTTTAGCAATCATAGTACACTAATAACTTTGACGGTAATATCAATACAGGTTCATCCTGTGATATACGCAAGCAAAAAAAGATTAATAATTTATACAGAAGTACGAAACTTTTTTTCGTTAATATTGATCAATGTTCCGAAAATACACTGGAATGAGCCACGCGGCCGATCATTTATGTAATTCTGGTAAATATACAAATATACTACTAATACGCCAATTTTTTTTCTTTTATTATTTACGAAACTTTATTTACAACTTTTTTTTTAAATATGGTAAAAATAAATTAATTTCATTTTCTTTCTGTGATTATAATACAAATGGGTGAGGAAAAAAAATGGGTGAAAAAAAAAGATATAAATGTTCATATTTCCAGACTTTCATGCTCTTGAAAAAAAAAAGATATAAATGTTCATTTCCAGACTTTCATGCTCTTAAAAAAAAAAAGAAAGGTTAATTATTTTTTACAATGACGACAACGTTTACCATCTTCAAATAAACTTTTCTCATGTTCATAAGTATCATTAATGTAAGGTTGACTGTAACTGCTACGTCTTGGATTATTTTTATCAACTTTAACAACTCTAAAGACTTCACATTCCTCAATATCAAAATACATATGAGAAGAATAAGAAGAATAATAAGAAGGTACATAACAACCAGTGTTATATCTCAAAATTAACCTTAAATCACCAAAACATGGACCGTCTTCTGATAAGAAATGCTTATATAATGTATCATATCTATTTAAAGGAGACATAACATATCTTGGAACTTTTTTTCGATTATCAAAAAAGAAAATAAAATTTTCTTTTACACTAAAACCATCCTGTACTTGAAGAGATTTCTTATCCGTAAAAAGTCCATAAGGATTAAATCCTCCAACTAAACATCTCTGTCCTGCTATTTTTGCAATTGCTAGAGTTGGACCTTGCTGATTACATTTTTCTGCAAAATTCCAAAATCCATCTTTTGATGAACGAAAAATAAGATCAAATTTATATCTACAAGCAGGTTTGATGGGTTTTTCTTCATCAAGTTCTTGATTATGTAAAGATCCTATCCATTTAATAAAATGTGCAGCGTGAACATGATTTATAAGATTTGAATCCTTTAACCCTTGAGAACCTTTTGGTTGATATTTTGTTAAATACCATTTTAAAGCAGAATTATCCATTACTTGAGGTGATAAAATTTTTTCATATGGAAGAATTTTTGAATGAACATCATTTCGAGAAATTTCTGTGAAATTAATTAATGGTAAAAGGTTTCCTAAAGTTCTTCCAAGTAATTTGAAATCTTCATCTGACCATTCTGATAATTTTTCCTTGTCAAGTGAAGGATTTTGTAATAAACCCCATTTGATAATGAGATCCCAACGGGCAGTATGTTCAAGGTTAAAATTATATTGAAGTAAAAGGGAGAAGAGGATCGATTCTTCTAAAGTACCTAAATCTTCAGCTTCAGTTAACCATTTAGGATCAACGTTAATCTTATTGGCCAAATGACGACGAAGTTTATAAAAAGATTCAATTCTAAAAATATAATGTAAAACTGGAATACACTCTTGATCTGGCCAAAAATCCATATTCTCCCCAGTATTAATTGGTATGTTATCAATAAGGTCATCTAACATAAATTCATCTGAAGCACTAAACAAACCATAAATTTCGTCGGCATTAAGATTATCCAATTTTAACTCACCAATGTACAGATACCTGAGAAATAGATAGCGTATAAATAATTGTACATTTAAATATAATCAAACACGTGACTTTATATCTCAATTTACCTGAGAATAATATCAAATACAATCGGCCTAACATTTGGTTTATCAATAATAAAAATATCGTTTTCTTTTCTGGCCCATTCAGAGGACAAAGCAGTGCGAAAATACTCAGAACGAGAACACAATATAATTGATCCAGCTTTAAATTCTTTTAAATCAGGTTCAATTCCTACACGAATGATTGTATCATATCTTCCTCCACCATAATCATTTTTATCGTCGTTACAAATATTACTATCATTTTTTTCATTATAATCACTGTATTCGTTCATCTTTTTGGAGGTAGGTCCGGCAGGTTTACCTAGTAAAAGGTCAAATATGTTCCCTTCATTTAAAATGTATCCAAAAGAATTCAGAGTGGAAGTTATAGTCGATTGAGTTTCCATGATTTTTTTTTATTAAATGAAGTGTTGAAAAGAAAAAAATTTTGATGTTTTTTGATGTTATTATTTGGAAAAAAAAAAAATGACGGGGTAATAAATCTTTTTGTTGTAACACAAGTACATGGGAAACCGTAAATAATCAAAATAATAACTTACTTTTTGAATAACGCAATTTACACTGTTCGGTAAGTACCAAATAACAAAAAAAAAACTTACTTTTATTAGGCGGCTATCGGGTGAAACCTTGATGACCCTTAAAAAAAAAATTATTAAAATTTTTTTTTTAAAAAAAAAAATATTAACTGCAAAGCGAAAAAGTTTTTATTTAAACAAATACAACCGAAAATTTTTCCTGAAATAAGAACGATCAACAGTGTATCATCTACAACTAAAGTGGCAATTGGCGAATTGGCGTTGATTTTTTATTTTATAGATTTAAAAATAATAAAAAAGACATATTTAATGCACATTTAAATAGCATTTATTGTCATCAGAACATCATTTCTAGTGACAGGTATCACAAGAAGAAGCAATACAACTTAAATTTTCATTTGTTTGGTGCATAATTAAGAAAATGATTACCCGAAAGATCCGTTCTAGATAATTTTCAACTTTACAAAATTTGAATATTTTTGATGTAAAATACAATATGGCTCGAATTTAGACTTTTTTACTTTTTGGCGTTTTTTTTTTTTTTTTTTTTTTTCTTTGTCTTTGGTCACTAAAGAAAGAAATAAATCACCGTAAGTGCTTAATATATATTACCATAATGATTAAACGAAAAGGAAATTTTTTTTTTTTTTTTTTTTTTTGAAAAAAAAAACAATGCTAAAAAGGAATTAATTTGTCTTATTTTTGGTCTTTGTACCTTCGTTTTCACGAGATTTTATCATTTTCGAGTTGGAAAGTTGGTAAATTGATTGGAATAAAGATAAACTTTGGGATAAAGCAATGCGTACTATCAGTAATTTATCAGTAATATATCACACATTTTAATCACATTAAAAATATTAACCAATTAAATAAAAGATCTAAACTCGATTGTAAACAGGTTTTTTTTTTGATTGGCGGTAAATTTATGTTTGTGTTCAATGAAAAAGAACAATACTATGTTACTTGAATGTAAAAAAAAAAATTTTTTTCTTCCTGCATTTAACCTCGTGATTTTGATTATCTTGAACCAATCAAATTTTTAACATTGGCAGTGATTATAATTTTTAGTAGGTCACCAAAAGCACAAAATTTGAAATTATTACCCGCCAAAAATATCCTTAAAAAAAAAAATGCGGGGTAAAAAAAAAGGTTTGTTTATTCACGAAATAAAGAAATAAACAAACTAACAAAATGTGGGGTAAAGGAATCCAATTCACTTGTTTTTGTCGTCGTAAAAAAAAAATAATAAAATAATGACGATTTAAAACTTTAATCAATGATGGAAATATGACGTTTCATAATAGTTTAAGTATAAAGCGACACAGAGATTATAAAAATTATAATGATTATAATGATTTATTTATATGATGTCATAAATTGGGATTCATAAAAAACAAACATGAATCCTAATATAATTCTTAAAAGAACATTGCATACATGATACTTGTACATTATGCATGTGAGTTATCTTTCCAAAAAATCCTTTTTCGCGTTTGATCTAATTATTATGTAATTATTTTCGTCATCGTAATAACTAATAATACAATAATTCAAAATTTATCTAAAAGAATATCAAAGTACTTAAAAGTAATTTATCAATTATTGATATCATTTATTTGTTATAATTTAATTCTAACTAAAAAAATACACAAAGTTTCCATATTTTTAAATTATTCCTAGCATCCTTGATTTATATATAAGGTCATCGCTCGGATAGATGTAAAAAATTTAAGAAACGTCATTTAGTTTATCATATTTAATGTAATGAAACGGTTTTAAAATAGTAAATACTAATATTTATCCGGTTGATGTCCGCTATTCGACTATCGCTCGGTAAGCCTACAATCATTTTTAAACCAGTGATAATTTTCCAGTTTTTGACTGAAATTTTATTAATTGTGTCGGATACCAAAAATAACTTACCTCGGATAAACTCTTGATGCTACGTGTGATGAATGGGATAAATGGGAGGAATAAGAGGGATAACAATTATATTATTTTATCCCACGGTTTCTAGTTAAAATTTGTGCTTTTTTTTCTTGATATTCTCACGGGTGGTGTTTATTTAAAAGATGGGTAAAAAGTCTATCAATATTGGAATAAAAAGTCAATCATTATTCAATATATTAAAGGGCTTTATTAGTACGGATACCCGTGAGTTATTTCACGGAGTCACTGGAATATCATGATTTTCACGGCTGCGCCGTGAAAGCCACAGTTCCCGTGAAATAACTATTACATATTTCATCTATACAATATTTACTAACTTAATCTTCTAGATATCAAATTAGGAAATTTGACATGGCTACACATATGTCACGCAGGTTAAAGCCATGGTTGTCATGTTGTGAAACAATTGTTATCTCCGGACCTCCACTATAAATCAAAAAAAAAAAGAAATAGTAATTTGGTATGGTATTCTCTTCTAAACATTTCTCATTATCTATGAAAAAAATAATTTTTTTTGGTTGTTTGATTTTAATCGCCAATGTTCTTGCGATACCAGTTGGCAATGACGAACATGAAATAATGCGAAATGTTCATATGAAATTAAGTGAAAAAACAAGTACCGAATTTTGGTTAAAAGTTGCTTTGACTGTATTTTTGGTTTTAATAGGCGGATTATTTGCTGGTATTTATTTTATTATGAGTTTAGCATCACAAAAAAAAACAGAAAATAATTTTTAACTTATTCGTTTTTAGGATTAACCCTTGGACTGGTAAATATCTTTTGTGAATTACGTAACTTTTGATAATTTCTTTATTCTAAAATGATTTTTAGATGAGTTTAGATGAGACGAATCTTCATATTCTTGCTTCATCAGGTGACCCGAAACAACAGTAAATAATCATTATCTTTATTCTCTTTAAACTTGATGTACTTGATGTTTGTAAAATATTTCTAATTATTCATCATTTTTTAATAGGAAATATGCTGCAAGGATTCAGGTATGTAATAAATCTATTCATTTTATTCAAATTTTACTCGGATGACATGTCTTATAAAAATTATTAAAAGCCAATTAGAAAAAATGGTCATTTGCTCTTGGTTACACTTTTACTCGCAAATGTAATAGTCAATGAAACTTTACCAATTGTTATGGATGATGTTTTAGGTGGAGGTGGGATAACTGCCGTTTTAGCTTCAACGGCACTTATTGTTGTGTTTGGAGAAATTATTCCTCAATCCGTATGTTCTCGTTATGGTCTTGCTGTTGGTGCTTTCTTCGCTTGGTGTGTATTTTTTTTTTTAAAGAAAAAATTATTTTTATATATAAAAATGATTTATTTATAATAAATTTTATCAGGCCAGTTAGAATATTGATATGGTTGACAGTAAGTTTACATTATATTTATTAGTTAAATAATGAGATTTTTCTAATATCAATTTAATATTTTCTTTGTAGTTTGTATTTTCATATCCGATAGCAAAATTGTTAGATTGGGTTCTTGGAGAAGATCATGGAATTATTTATCGTCGTGCTGGTTAATATTGAAACTTAATACGTATATTTATTTATACATAATAGATATGTGTCCTTTTTATTTAGTAATTTCTAAAATTTTAATATTATAGAACTTAAAGAATTAATTAAATATCATGAATCATCTGAACGTGGTGGTGATTTAATGAAGGATAGTGTTACTATCATACGGGGTGCACTTGATTTACAAGATAAAGTTGTTGAAAATGCAATGACACCAATTGACAAGGTAAAATTATCTTGTTGAGTACACTTTTTTTTTATAAAATAGTACTTTAAGCATTTTATAATGTTTTAGGCATACATGATATCTATTGATAGCATATTGGATAGAATCACTATAAGAGAAATTTACACAACTGGACACTCACGAATTCCTGTTTATGAGGGATCGCGAGATAATATCTTGGGCGTACTGTTGGTTAAGGTAGTAATTCTTTTAAAAAAAAAAAAAAAATTTATTGTACATGTTTTTTATTTATAACAAGTATTTGTTTTTTATTTAGTCTTTGATAATGCATAATCCAGATGACTCAAAACCTCTGAGAGATTGTAAAATAAATAGCATTCCAACTGTTGAAGCCAAAACACCGTTGTTTGACATTCTTAACACATTTCAAGAAGGAAAAAGTCATATGTCATTAGTATTTAAAGAAGGAGTACCAGTTGGAATAATTACATTAGAAGATGTACTTGAAGAATTAATTCAAGAAGAAATTTATGATGAATCTGATGTAAGAACAGGTTTAGCAGTCAAATTGGAAACCGGAGGTCAATTGATTTTATCTTCAAAGAGAAAACGTACGTCATCCCTTAATAATAATAAAGGTAAATTCAAAAGTTCGAGTTCGCATCCCCTAACAAGGGCAAATACGGATACCGCTATAGATCCTAAAATTGATATGATTGGAGATACTTCGAAAAACGATAATGATCTGATTATTTTTGATGAACCTGAACATAAAGATTATAATCATTGAAATCTAGTTGGTTTAGCTATTTATTATATTATTGTTATTATTTAATAAATTCCAATTGTATTGCTTAATGAAATATATGATGAATATTTTATTAATATATAAATGGATCTCGGTGCTTATAGGAAATTTAATTAATAGAGTAAATATCATGTGTTCGTTTATTATGTTGCTATATTAGTCTAAAATCAGAAGTGGACGTTATTGGTTATTTATCTGAAATCACGTGAAAATAGATTTCATAATTCCATAAGTTTACGAAACTAACTAATAAATGGGAATACCGGAAAATGTTTTTCCGATCAAAAAAAAAGATATTTATTGTGAGGCGTGTTATTGTTTGAACGAAAAATATCTGGCGTAAGATCACAAGGATCAGTCAAACAAATAAAGGTAAATCAAAAAAAAAAATATTTTAAATTTATTATAAATAATTGGTTTGTTATCTATTATTGCTTTTAAATTTTTACTCTTTGATTACGAATAAAAATTTTTAAAAGATGCAATTTTTATATCAAATTGTTTGGACCAATGTTTTAGCTTTAATATTTTTTACGTCATCATATTATAAATTTGATATGAAGAGACATATGGGAACAAATTCATTATATCCCATATTTACTGATAAACAACCAGAATTAAATTCTCCTCGTAATTGTAAATTAGAAAAGTTATTTTTAATCGCTAGACATGGAACAAGATATCCCGAAGATGACGATATTGATAAATTTGATGTATTAGAAAAAGTTTTTCATGATGTACCTGGACGTAAAAAGCATAAGGTAATCCCTCAAAAAAAAAAAAATGCGAACAATTTTACTGATTTATTTATTTTGTTGAATAAACAAATAATTATATTACATAGTGGGAAAATAAATTTACGTTATCACAAGATGCTTTATTATATTTTCGAGGTCAGAAAGAACATTATCTATTGGGAAAACGTTCTTTTAAGAAATATCAAAAGTTCTGGAAAAAAGTTATTCCTTATGATCCTTACATTATTGAATTTAGAAGTACAAAAACTTCAAGGTATGTCTTAATTCATTATAATGTTAAATTAAAATTTGCTAACTTATACGTTTTTTTTTTAGAACTGGAATGTCGGGAAATTCATATTCTGTCGGATTATTTGATGGACATGGAATTTTAGGTAGAGGAGATACTCAACCGATTTATATTTATACCACTTCGCTAGTAAGTTTTATTATATATATATATTTATTTAAAAGATTAAATAAATTCTTAATAATATATTCTATATATAGTCAAAAGATTATGAATTAGCGATTCATCGATCTTGCCCTCTTTGGAAAGATACAGTAAATGATAATAACAAAATTCTAGGAAAACAAGTTTCTCAATTTACTTCAACAAATTTAACAGAAATTACAAATCGCATCTCAAAAAAATATAAAGTCAAGAATCTTCAACCAATTCATGCGGATTATATTTATAAAGCATGTGCATTTGATATTATATTTTTTAATGAACATAACAGTTGGTGCAAATTACTTCGTAAAAAAGATATTTTGACATTAGAATATTTTAATGATATGAAAAATTATTATCGATTTTCTTATGGAAATGATTTAAATAAACGATTAGCCTGTAAGTTAATTACTAAATTGGTAAATAGTGTTGAGAAGTATATGAACGGGACTTCTCCTGTTAAAGCGGAATTATTTTTTACTCACTCTGAAACACTCTCATTCTTATATACAATCTTGGTAAGTTATAAAAAAAAGTGTGGAAATTTTTTCTTTTCATTTTATCATTTAACAAAATTTTTTTTTTTTTCGATTTTTTTCGATAGGGATTATATAAAGATTCTAAACCTTTAATAGCAAATGTAACTTTAGATGAAGTTTCTGATCGAAAATATAAAAGTTCAGAAATTTGCCCATTTGCTGCAAATGCATATTTTGAAATCTATAATTGCGCCAATTGCGCCTCCAATGAAAATCTTTTCGAAAAAAAAGAAAAATCCATTTTAGTTCAAATAATTATCAATGAGGTTCCGGTTATTATCCCAGGATGTGATGAAAAGTATTGCGAATGGAGTAAATTTAAAGAATTAATGGGTGATAATATAGGTTGTGATTTTAAAGAAATTTGTAAGACTGAGAAGTATTAAGGAAGGATTCTTTTGTTTATCATTATACATATATTGATATATAATAATATATAATAATATATTGATATATAATAATATATAATAATATATTGTATATATAAATATATATATCTTAACCGAAATATTTATTTTTTTTATCCTATCTCTTAATAAAATTCGTTAATCTCGTTATCTTTAGTCAAAATTTTATATTCAATGAAACTATTATTAGAGAAGTAAAAAACGCCCAATTTTTCTTTTTTTTTTTTTTNTTAAAAAAAAAAATCTTTTTATTTCCCAAACTACTGTACTGTATATTCAGTGTTATATTAAAGAAAAAAAAATATAATTTAATTTGTGTATACTTTGCTTGGACCATTTTTCACGAAGATACGTTGTGTCATTTAGATAAATAAAAGAAAATAATTATAATTAATAATTACTTTTATAAATTAGACCGAATATGTAAGCAAATTATCATTTAACGAGAATACGTTATCATATAAATACCATTTAAACTTGTTCGTTGACAAGACTTTATCTCACTTTGATCTACCAAATTACCAAATTAAAATTAGCGATAAACCTTTTAAGTAATCGGGTAAATTTCCGAATATTTCGAATATTTGTTACACGAAATGTCATTCGACAGAGATAATAATTAAAGATAAAAAGGGTCTGAAAATTTTTTTACTTTTTTTTTTTTTTTTTTTTAAAAAAAAAAAAAAAATCACAAATATATAATACATTGAGTAATAATACTATTGAATGGGAAAATTTTTTTTTTTTTTTTTTTTTAAAAAAAAAAAAAAATTTATCATTATTATTATTATTCAATTATTCCATTCTCTATGGACCCACAGGATCCAAATTCTTTTCGACATAGGTTTTCATTTGTCAATGGCATAATTTATCGTAAGTTATTTTTATTACATATTATTCGTTTGAAAGGTTTATCCTAAGAATTTTTTTGGTTTATCTTCATATTTAAAAAGATTATGTTGACCAAGGAGAGGGACATGACAATGCTATTATCCTCTGTCATGGTTTCCCTGATTTGTGGTATGGATGGCGTTATCAAATTCCTTTTTTGGTATCTAAGGGTTATAGAGTGATCGCACCGGACCTCCGAGGCTTTGGACAAACTGTGAGATTTTTAACTTAAATTCATTCTTTTTTAATAAATTCTTATATAATTCTTTTCTTTAGGAATCTCCTCATTGTCCACCAAATGATATACATCAATATGGTTTCAAGAATATCTGTAAAGATTTATCTGAACTTATGAATCAGTTAAATCTAAAAAAAGCAATTTTCATGGGCCATGATTGGTAGTCAATTATAAAGATAGATACCTTATTAATTTTGGAAAGATGAAATGCTAAAAAAAATCCTTTTTTTTTATAGGGGTGGAGTTGTCGTTTGGCGAATGTGTATCCATTATCCAGAAAAAGTTCATGCTGTTATCAGGTAAAAAAAAAAAATTAATGATATCTTTATTTTTACATGATTTTCTCTTTATTGATATTTTTTTCTCGGTATAGTTTAAATATCCCATATATTCCTCCAAATGAACATTACCTTAATATTGAATCTATTGCAGAACTTTTACCAAATTTACAATATCAAGTTTATTTTACCCATCCCAAAGCTGAAATAGAATTAGATAAAAATGTTTGTAAATAAATTTTGGGGGGAGTTTTTTATATTTAGTTAAACTTTAAAACTTCTTTTTTTTTTCTAGCTGGAATTATTGTTTAAAGCTCTTTTTCGATCTTCTAAGAAAGAAGATCGCATCAAAGTATTCGATGGTAATTCAATGCTTGGAAATGTTCCTAGTAATCTGGAAAAAAGTCCAATGATTACAAATAAGGTCTTTTTTTTTTTTCTTTTTATTAAATAATTTTTGTGATTTATGTTCATTTCCACTTTTATTATTAATAGGAACTGGATTATTATGTCTCCCAGTATAAAGCTAGAGGATTTCACGGAGGGCTAAATTTTTATAAAACCAGAAAAGTGAATTTTCAAGATGAGAAAGGTATTGAAGTTTATAAAAAAAAATAAAAGTTATTTTTATTATTTATATTAAATCTTTTTATTCACTTTTGTTTACAGGTGCTAGAAAACAAATTCTTCATCCCGCTCTTATGGTAAATATATGATAACGATATACAAGTAAAAGTATTAATTATTTATATTTCTTAAATGGTAATGTGATTTTGCGTAGGTTAAAGCTGATGAAGACACCCTCACTCCTTCTCTTATGGTGATTAGTAATATGGAAAAGTATTGTAAAGACTTGACAGTAGTAGTAAGTATTTGAGATCGCACAATATTTACATTATTATAAACATTATTTATTTATTTATATATTTAACAGAATATTACTAATTGTTCTCATTGGGTTATGATTGAACAAACTCAAAAACTTCATGAGATTATTGGACCATTTCTGGATAATATATCACAAAAGATAAATGCTGAAAAGACATTTAAAGCTAAATTTTAATAGATTAGGTATTTATATATATACTGTATTTTGTATAAATATAATTTCATTTTTGTATGCCTTTCATAAATATTAAAAGTTATTTAATAGTAGAAATGTTATTTAGTCTATACGATGAGATGAAGATTAAATAGATTAAATGATTGAAGTACATTGGTTAACTTTTAATTACCGACATTCAATATATAAACATCGATTAAGGTTGTTGCCATCGTTTTTTATTTAATATAGTATATTTATTAAATTTTTGTGATTTTATTGTAATTTCAAGTAGTCATTATATTACCCATTGAAGATGGGTTTTACCTTATACTATATGTACATATATATTTTTTACTCAATATGGATTAAATCTAGAAATCATACTTTCGGATGCGATTTTTAAATTTGTAAGCGAATTTTTCAATTATAATAGGTATATATGATAAGGATTAATCAAATTTATCGTTTTCTTCGTCTCTAAATTTCAAAATAAAGTTCTTTGATGTTTAAATTTCATTATGTACATAGGTTTAACGTTTATAACTTAATAGTTTCACAAATTCTTAATACCTAAAAATTAAATTGAAGACTTTGCAGATTAATCATAAGATGATTAGATGGTCTATCCGGGAATTAAGAATCAAAGATATATACATCTGAAACTGTTCAGCTGGTTTAGATAACTCTAATGTGAATTCTATCATTATTAGAGTTCATATAAGCTTGGAACTGAGCTAGAGAGTGCATTTATGAAGGTGCATTTATGGAGAGTTTTATCCGGGCGCACCTGTGTGTATTTATATATTTAAGTTTGCCATCTCATAAAACATAAACATAGAATACGTAGTATAAATGAAATGAAATAGGTGCTGTATTCAAATTTGCTCCTAAATCTATCATATAAACAATATTAAAATTCAAAAATCCTAGATTAACGTTATTATTACTGAGATACGATATCCGAAATTGACCTTTGTTGTATCATTATTACATTTGCCCGCTCCTAAAATGTGCAATTATGGAAATAATCAGAGGAAACAGTATGTTAAAAGTCACGAAAAGATATTTTTACATATAAAGCTTTGAATAATTATGTGGAAAAGCCATTATACAAAAACATAATAGATTTTTACATGGATTTTTACATTATAATTTCTAATTATTGCATTTCTTTAGTATGCTATCAATTGCGCTGGTAAAAAAATACCAATACATCAATTTTATTGACCGAATTGAAACTTTCAAATTAATCTTTTTCTTGATAGTAACAATCGAAATAGAATAATTAAATACTTTATAACAACGAGAAAGAAATCTAGGGACAAAATTGGTAGAAAATCAATTTAATGATAATTAACAAATAACTTTAGTGTGCTACTTTTATTGTCATTCTATGTTGTTATGTTTAATCTAACAATTTAAGTGAAGACTAAACATAAAATTTTTAAATTAGTTAAAAACTGTATATTCTATAAGTAAATACATTATGCTCTATATTCGGCAGTCATCCATAACTCACAAGTTTCCCAACAATTAACAATATCTTCCGAATCTTCTAGCATTTGAATTTCTTCCCAGTTATTTAATACTTTATCATAATTTAAATATTTATGTAAAATTTTAACGCATTCTTTTGTTAAATTCCCTCTAACATCCGAAATATAAAAATTAAGTAATTCACGTCCTTTCCACATTTCAAAAAATTTTGACAAATCTAAAGGAGAAAATTCCCATCCCATATTTCCATGAAAAAATTCTCCAATACTACTTAAATTTATAATTTTCAACGATCGGGGAGCTTTATTTGCCAATATTATTAATAATGGTAAGGCTTTAATATTTTCAACAGTTATTAGTTTAATACCTTCCAATTTCTGACATTTTTGTAACATAATCTCTAAAACATCATTAATACCTTCTTTATACCAAATTGTGACAAATTCAATCTTTGGACAATGATTTGCAATAGCTAACACATAATCTTTTGCTTCTCTCTCACTTTCAGGTTCTTCGATTACATTCATGGCAATTCTAAGAAGTGTACCTTTGGTTTTCTTAATTATGTTTGTGAAAACATAGTATGGAGTGAATCTATCATAAATAATTTCCAGAAATTCAAGAAATGGAAAATTTGAAGAATCATGTAATATTATAGGTTTCTCCGCAGATAATTCAAGGTTCAATAACTTTAAGTTTGAAAATTTTGCAAGTATCTTTGGTGAAAAAAAGATTTGTCCACGAAAATGAATATTGAGCAGGGAATTTTCATGTTTTTCTAGACTATTCCCAATTTTTACAGAGTCTGCTTCACCTATTACATTATCGCACATTGATAAATATTGTAATCTTTTTTGAACTCGAATTAAAAAAGCTAATCCTTCATTGTCAACGACCGCTCTATTAATTATAAGCTTTTCTATATTAGTACAAACTTTTCCCAAATCTTTGAAAATCTGTGGTGAAATATCAGCATTACATGTAACTTCTTTTAAACCAGAAAAACAATATTCTGGGGTAGCCACTCTCAATAAAGGAAACCGAGGAATTTCAAGATATTTAATATTTGAATCGATTAAAAAAAAGTTGTATAGTAATCTTTCGACAATCATCAAATTATGATTCGTGTTATTCGTATTCGATAAATTATAAAGCTCAAAATCAAATACTCCATGTATTAACCCTTTAATATGTCGATGTTCTAAAACTTGAATATATCGAACATAATTAAATAAAGGAACTTTAGTCGTTGGAGGGTTTATTGAGATTCCATTAGTTATAAAAGCAGTCTTTATATCATGTGGTAAAAGGGCGTAAATGGTACTTGTTATTGACCTTGTTGATTTTTCTCTCCAATTAAACCAAGACAATGCCCAAGGATTTCTCCACATTACTGGAACGACAGTCTTGCACCATTTTCTGTTTACCAATAAGCAGGAACCTAAAGTTTCCAAATCATCACTTTCGTAAGCATATTCAAATATTTCACGAAGACATTCAGTCGGGAGTGATGAAGAATTCATTTTTAACCTATGACTAAAAGATCAAATCAAATAAATCAATATATCTAAATTCAATTTTTTTTTTTTTTTTTTTTTCAATGATTACATTAGAAAAAAAGTTTATAAGGTTCTTGGAATATACGTAATTATGATCAAAAGGAAACTGATAATTAATTTCTCCGCTACCATAATAACTTTTTTGTGAAAATTTTTTTTTTTTTTACGCTGTAAAATGATAATTCTTTAAATCTCGATTTTTATAAATAAAGAGCATATAGAGTTCATCGTCCGTCAAAACAATATTCTTAGCATATAATGATTTTTACAATGTTTGAATATTTTTACATTTGATTCGATTTGTGTTTTTGTGTTATTAAATGTCGGAGTTCCCAAAGTACCAAGTAGCTCAGATTAAATTGATTGATTGTACAACATTATAATAGCTAAAGAATTGTAAAATTTTAATTAATCAATATTTATTTTATTTTTTACATACCTTTATTTGTAAATATATACCGTATATATAATATATATAATAATATATATATAAGAATATATACGAATCGCACAATAATATAATTTTTTTTTTTTTTTAGAAAATTATTTAAAATTTATTTAATCTTTCTACAAATTTCTCCTTCAGCTAATTCACTTTTAATTGAATAGCTTTTATAAAAATTTTGTAATATTATTTAATAATATAAATGATATTATTATAATATTTATTTGATTATTTTGGGATATTCATTATAAATAGAATGAAGAATATCTTCAAGTTCTACAATGCGAATGTTTATTATTTGAAAGAAGAAGAGGAATCGAGGATTTCTAACCTTGAATGTTCAATTAATGAAATACGGTGAACAAGAAAAAAAAAATTATGTAGTGATCAATAATGTGAGATTAACAGGTTTAACGCATGTCTAGCTTCTTATTGTAGTAACTTCTCCCGAAAATCCTTTATTATATCAAAAATGTACTTATTTTTCTTTGTGTTGTGTTTTTGGTGAATCAAATTTAGTAATAAAAAAAAAATCATATAAAAATTGATGAATGAATTTTTTAATTAGGAAATTTACGGTTTCATTTGTTTCTTGTTTTCATTTTTGTTGTTTCTTTAAGAAAGTGAAAAAATTTTTTTTTATACTTTCAATTAATTATTTTGTAATTTAATTTTTGTGGCTAATTTTTTTTTCTCCTTTTATTCAATTTCCATATCTTTACTTTTCAATACCCATATATTTATCCTTAAATTTCCATATATTTATCTTTCAAATTTTCATATATTTAAATTTCCATATATTTTACATATATTTATCTTTTCAGATATGGAAGGTGATACATTAGAATCATTAAGTCGCCTTTCAATTGACTTATTAGAGTTTTTATATAAAGAAGATTATCAGAGATTACTTAATATTGCGGATTCATTTCCTGAATATTATTGTAGAGAAAATCAATTCGATGTTATAGTAAAAATTGATGGAGAAGATTGTTATTGTAATTCAGATATACTAAGTTCGCGATCATCATATTTTCGAACTGCTTTATCACATGATTATGTTGTTAAGAAAGGTTCATATATCATTCTAGAAGAACCAAGTATTTCTCCAGATACGTTCAAAACAATGTTAAAGTAATAAAAATTATCATTTTTGTTTTTGTTTCTGTATTATCTGAAAAAAAAAAAAATACCATGAATTAATTCT